TAAAGAAGAACACATTTTCAACTATTCTCGTATGGGAGATTATCCTCCTTACCTCTATACTCCATGCTTACGTTACTTTTATTGACAGACTATATTTTTTTACAGATGCGTATTATCCTCTTAGTAGTCTGTGCTTTCGTCGTGGATCTCCAAAGTATGTAGCATGAAGGTTAGAGAACAGGAGAACGATCGCTACGTAATAAAGCATAGCCCGCCTGTCCTTGAAAATTGTAGAATTTATAGCGGCGCTGACGTCGGTGAGTAGTGACTGCGAAGTTAGCTGTTTATGAGTACAAGTATGTGAAGTTAGTTAAATAATGTACAAATTTTCTCCGCGGCATTGGTGAGAAAAATCACTCAACGTATTTCACGGCGATTTAACATACTCCGTAGCTACTCGAGCGCTGTAGTGGAGAGTTTTTGAACTGTTATTTATTGCTTACAGATGGACACTTTTTCAACTATTCTCCTATGGAAGTTGTACTCCTTACTTCTTAGATATCTCTCCATACTTCAAAGCTAAAGATGATCCAGACGTGACCTTTTCTAAAGTCCTCTTAGTATTCTGCTGTCTGTGTAAAGTCTGTAACTGAAACTTGGCATCCCGGATATCCGCTTTAAAGAAGCATGCCGCTACTAGTAAACATAAAAAAAATATGAGCGAATTCAGTGGGCAGTCTTCGGTAAGTTTAATAAATTAAACAGATTGTATAAATATAATATAATATATTTATACAATCATAATATAATTATAATATATAATTATAATAGGTATATTTATTTTTTCACTAAGTAGAACGTCGTATCTCAGTGCCAAGCTAATATTTGGGTTTTTTAAAATATTAATAGTTAGTTTGCAACAATCCGCTCAGTATAGGTTTAGTATAATGAATTTTCGCAAAGTAACGCCTGATTCTATTAATTATAATATCAGTTTATTTATTTAATCTTACACTCACAAGAATGTATGGTGCATTTTTAAATAAATTCACTGAATTATTTTAGGTGCAACAATTCTTTAATAAAACTTTCTTGCAAAAAGAAATTAAAAATGCAGAGCTAAACGCGTCTGTTTTTTTAATTTTTTTTTTTTTTGGTATAACCCAATTCTCCGTATCGCGTTATGTGATGAAATATTTAATACAATGGTAAATAAAGTTGGCAGAATTTAGGCATTTTCACACAGACTTTTTATTTTTACACAGACTTTGGCAGGTTGACCAAAGTAAAAGCGCCACATACTACATACGGAATTTTGGTTTGCCCGCAAAATTTTGAACCGAAAACTACCGTAGGTGTGTGACGGGTCATTGATTTTATATGAAATTGCTGCATTCAGAATTCCGAATCAGACTTCCGAAACGGAATCACGAAACGGAATTCCGTATGTATAAGGCCGGCCTAAAGCAAGATCTGTATTTTAAAGATGGCCACACTGCAGTGTTGCCAGATCTAGAGGTTTTTCCTCAATCTAGGGGTTTTTGGAGGTCGTTGAGGTTTTTTAGAGGTTTTAATACCACGAAATTAATCTAGGGGTTGTTCTGAAGGTTTTTCACTAGTCTTACCAAATTCTGAATTCTTTTTCAAAACAGACAGTGCCGACAATTCATTATCGATATAAAATATCGATATGGTAGTATCGCAATTAATTTGTCCGTTTTATACTCATAACTTTTTCTATATTGATGTATTTAACCTACATGTGTGCATAAAATGTAATAGTATTGGAGATTTATATTTGTGTGTGCCTAATGTCGCCTCTACACGTTGGCCAACACAGTGGCGAATGGAGTAGCGAATATATTGGCCGAGAGTTGGTGACGGCGTCCACACGTTGGAAGGTCGTTCAGTTTACTTCGGTTCGGGCCAATGTGCGGACGAATTTATTTTATTTTAGACGACGGCTCCGTGGCGCAGTGGCTTAGCAATGAGTCGCTGTGCCGGGGGCCGCGGGTTTGAATCCCGCACGGAACAAGTATTTGTATATCCTACAAATAATTGTTTCGGGTCTGGATGTGTGTCCTTGTGCAATTTATGTTTGTAAGCTGCCTCCGCGGTACAGGAGAAAATCCAAGTGTGGGGGTAACATTTTTATAAAATAATTATAAAAGAATAGTGGATATTAATGGGGCTGTAAATAGATATACGATATACGACTAGCTTTATTTATTCTTGACATGAATCGTAAACTGGAATAAATACCATTAATAAGAACTTAACTTATTTTAACGTTAAAGGGGTTATAATCGATTAGCCTATGTTTTAAAATTGGGTTTTGATTTTAAAGTTTAGCAAAACATGTACTTGCTTTTCTATCAGACATTTGATGTATATTAAAACTCCTTATAATTTATTTGGTAATTTAATTATTTTTTGAGAAAGACAAAAACAATAGCAATAAATATAATTAACACTGACTTAATAATATATATAATATAATTGCATGGTCCTACCACGTATAAACGACGTGCTTCATTTTTTTTTTTTCATTTTAAAATTTTTTCTCGTAATAATCTGATTGTAAAAAAAAGTTAATTTTATTTGATAAATAGCTTATTGATTAAAACAAATAAACAACAAATTAACAATGACATCGGGACGTCAGTCATCTCAGTCCCCCGTGACCATGGGTGCTGGAAAGCGCCCGAAACGTCGGGAATTAAAAATAAAAAGTAAAAATAAACGCGATAAAATCCGTAAAAGTAGTTTTAATCATGTGCAATGTTCGCGTAAATATAAGAAATCATTATAAAACAAATATTTAATAATAATAATTAAATCGCGCTAATTAAAGTAATAGGAATGTTTAAAGTTGAAATTGGCACTAAAAGGCTGGTAATTAGGACATCCACCCTACAAAGCTTGAATATAAAATGTAAATCAGATGCGTGTAATCACTCTGGGAGCTTGTAGCAAACTAAACGCGCGGCCAACGTGTGGACGCGGCGACCAAACTCTGCCAACAATCCTTTGATCTTTTGTAAAAAACCGACACCATACGGATCTCGCGCCAACTTGCGGGCCATCGTTCCAATACATACCAATGAAGCCCAAACACCCCGTCTACACGTTGGCCAATGCTATTGGCAACTACATTCGCCACTGTGTTGGCCAACGTGTAAAGGCGCTGTAAGTGACACAAAATTTTATTGAGTAGGTGTGCAGTACTGTCTATGTATTGTTTCTTCCTCCGCACCATAAGTGACAGACTTTTTTATTCGTAGCATTAGGCGCATTACTCGTCCATTGGGATTAATGGTCTAAGTACGTAGATTGTATGTAGTAGAAACTTATTTTTGATAAATCTGATTCACACGAAACTTGACCGCATAAAAATTCAGAGGTTTTTTATCCCCCTACATAGGGAAACTAGGGGTTTTTTGGAAAAATCTAGGGGAGAAGGTGAAAAAAATTTGGCAACACTGCCACACTGCTAAGAAAAAAATGTTATAAATACCTACATATATAAATATGTACAATATCCACAGACCACAGAGTACTTTTTTATAGGCATGTCGATTCACTCTTAAAAAAAATCGATCTCTGAATCGATTTGAATCGAAGGTACTTGAATCGATTATCGATTAAATCGAGGAATAAAAGATCGATTTTCGATTAATCGCGACATTTTACAAACATGAAATTTCAAGAATTTTCGATTTTTTTTTCTTTATCTTCTAAACTGTAATATTTTTTTTAAAATAAAATATTAGTAATCTTATTGATTAACATTACTAATATTCCTTTAATATCCATTCACCACTCCTGGTAAGCTTTAAACGCTTGTGTTAGGAGTGGTTCGCACATACTCCACTCGATCCCTTTTTTTTACAAAGTGATTCCACGTAACACTTTTATTCGACATTTTAGGCTAAAAACAACAATACTTTTACAAAAGTGCAAACTGCAATGTACATTTCTCGATAAATCTGTTTCAATCTAATAACTCACTATTTATCATATTGAAATGAATGCTACTCGAACACAATACTGGTTATTTCCTTACTACATATAAAACTCTATAAACTTCAACGTACGGTATAATATTTTTTACAGTATCTAGGTATTTAAAAAGTACTCTGTACTTACAGCTCACAGTATGTATATTTTTGATAATAAATAATGTAAATTCACAAGTTCACAGTTCAAACAGGTTCACAGCTATAATATTATATTATATTATAATATTATATTATGTAGTACAGGAGGTGAAAAATAATATGAAAATTACGCTCGGTCGATCAAAAAAATATTTATAGTTTGGGATGTAATATATATTACACCTCAGTGGAAACGGTTCTATTTAAAAGTACGGTGAGCGATATTAATTTATATCTCGAGATGTAATATTAAATTACATTATATCCCTTAGTGGAAAGTGAGCTTAAGAATTTTAGAAATGAAAATGAAATGACAATTTTTCGATATTGTTGGATACGTTCATAAACATTTATTTTATTCAAATATATATTGCTTTCAAATTATCAACCAAGTTCGACCGGTTGTTTTTGCGTCCCCCAGCCGCAAAATAATTAAAAAACTGTGGTATCTTACTCCAGCCAGTTTGGGAATTTTAGCTAGTTCTTGAATCAAATGAATCTGTCCGATTCAATAGGTTTTTGGATCGATTCAGTGGATCGATGCGGTGCTTCGAATCGATCTAAAAAATCGATAATTTTACTCCAAAGAATCGATTTTTCAATTAATCGATTTTAGATCGACATGCCTACTTTTTTATATATAGGAAACAAGGAACAACAAGGAAACAATATCTTTGCTAATACATACACTATTGAAATTTGTTTTTAGCACAAATTATAAAGTAATATGTAATAAACCCCATTAGGGGTATGCATGTTCAGTGATTATGTACCAGGAGTTCTCAGCAAGGAACATACTACTCTATAACGACAGGTTTTGAGCACAAATTTCTAAGTGATACGTATCGGAGTTCTGAGTTTGTATCTAGTTTTCTAAGAAAAAGCTCAAATTACAAAACCATGTCGTATTTTGATTTCTTTTGTGATATTGTCAAAAAGGATGCTTCAAATAATGAATCAATCAAGGGCACTTGTTACCAAATGTGTCCTCAGGATGAAACGATTTTGTAAGTTTTTGAAATGTTCTTTTATAATAATTATTTTTGTAATTTGAGTAGTAGTACATATTTAAAATGACTGTACCATACATCTACAATTGATTTGACTACCCAACCTTTTATGATCATGAACAACTGCTCAACTTTAGATTAACTACCCAAAGTTAGCACTTCACATGACTTCTCTTCGAAAATTCAACATTTTTATACTTATGTACTTATACAAAATTCAGCGCTCAGAAACTCATAGTTTTTGAGAAAATTAAGAATAAAATCACAATTTCCGCCAATAATCTTACTTGTTTGACTTAAGCGTAAACATTTAACATTTTGCTACAAAATGTAACGTATGTTGGGATTTTCTAAAATATAAATATTTTTATTTTGTAATTAAAACTAAAATTACTAATATTAGTTATAAAATATACATGCAACAGTTAAAACTATTTTCCAATCAAAACTAATTTTGGTAAAACTATAGACATCCAGTATTTGCATACAGGGCTGGGAGGGAGAGAGTATAGAAGAAGCCCTTCCTACCCTTCCCCCCTTGCGGAATTTATAATTTAACAATAATGATTTTTTTTGTAAAATCATAAAATCACTTTTTACACAGGAATATTAACCCAAAGATACTTCTGCAAGAGCTTCGGTGCTGCAGGAAGTGCAGTCACTTCGCCCTTGGGTAGCAAATCGCTGGCACATTGGCAACACATTGGCAATCTATAGCTTTGCTTATTGGTTGCCTTAGGCAACCAGCCTCTGCGCCTATGGCTTTACAGAAACTGGAGTCGGGGTCATGCTGATTCTGTTTTAGAACAGATTCGACTAATCCAAAAGTTGGATTGCCCTAAACTCTGCTATGATTGTAGTAAAAGAGTAAATGTAATGTGAATTGTTATAATTTTGTTTTCGGAAAAATCTCTTGACTGCTCTTCACTTTAACTCAATTTGTTTAATATGAGTCTCATCTTGAGCCACAGATGGATTGTCTGGGGGCCAGTAATTAACTTTTTGTGGATGTATCTGTGTTTGACATATTTGCATTTCATTATAAGCAATTTTTAGTAAAATTTATTTTTATAAATTGTATATATGTAATATTTCTAAATTGAAAAAAAAATATCAAGTATCGGACGTCTATTTCATAATAATACACAAAATTGACATATTTGCATTTTGTTATTAGCAATTTTTAGTGAAATTTATTCTTATTATAATTAATTCAAAATGCATTTAAAAACAGTGTAATAGGTTTAGCTTAACCCTAACAGGCCTCATAAACTAAAAACATTGTTAAAATCAAGTACTGGTTGTCTGGAAGAAATTGCTGTCAGCAATAAGACCGCCCATTGCATACTTCTTTTGTATATATAATTAGTAATTTTTATATGGTGTGCAATAAAGAATATTAAATAAAAAATAAATAAAATAAAGTACTGGACGTCTATTGTCAACTCTTGTGATCAGTAAAAACAGTCATTATAGTATTGAATTGACTGGCCAGTATATCTAGATCTATGATATCTAGATACTAGATCAGTGACATATACTTGATCCTATTCAGAAAAGTAATATCTGTGAACAATTTTGTTCATCCTGCCAGACTTAGGAAAACTACTTTAGCCAATGAAAACCATATTTGTCCTAAAATAATATATATATATATATATATATATATATATATATATATATATACTATTTTTATATATATATATATATATATATATATATATATATATATATATATATATAGTAACAAAAAGTCCCCTTCTTAAATATACTCCTCCCTCTAACAATACCCAACCCCTTCTCAATCCTGTTTTAAGCAGTAGTTAATCTAAAGACCTTTCCTAAACTAGATTTTCTTAATCTGGGCAGGCTTTGCGTACCTAAAACTACTGTTGCTGATAAGTGATTTTAACTACTGGTTGGTTATAATTACTTTTAACAATATATTTCAGTCAAAATCTTTTTTTACCTATATTTTTAGGTAAAACAACTTTTGCCTAAATTTCTTTAGTCAAAATACTTTTGACTGTTTTTGTCAGACAAAATTAGTTTTGACTGGGAAATAGTTTTACTTGTAACAAATTATACATTCTATAACTAAGGCAATATCAGTTATTTTTAATTTTAATTGCGAAGTACAAAAATACATATATTAAAATTTTATAAAACAACTTACTTAAACAAAATGCAACTACCTAGTCTAATGTTATCAACTTAAACTTTGCCATATGGCTATCGAGTGGAATCCTATAAAGAATTTTATTACAAATTGTATTGTCACCAACTGAAATAAGATACCACAACATGTGATTGATGCTCCTACATTAAAAGCCTTCAAGAACAGATTGGATAAAATCTCCAAACATTAAGATGTACACGCATCAGCTTTTGAGCTACTAGAGTGTTTTTGTATTAATAATAATAATAATGTATATGCTTAAGTCAAATGAACATGATTATAAAAAAAAATATTTAAAAAAGTTCTTATTATTATAGCAAACCGCGTTTCCGCATGGCGAATTTTTTTACGTCAGTTAAAAAGTAGATCTTTCGAACTTAACCTTTGAGATATAAATTTTTGTAAAATCACTTAAAATGTATTTAATAAAATTATAAGGAGATACATGTAACGAAACATAATGATAAATACCAAGCGATCGAAATGTTTCATTTCACGAACCTCAATAAGTCAAAGGAGACGGGCGAAAATTCATAGAAAGCTGGGCCTGATGTTACAGTAACGATTACTGCATTATTTTATTTATATACCAATACCATTTTAAAAAAACTAAAATATTTACGACTGCTTCATGGGAGAGAAAAAGTATAGGATGTTATTGGTTTTTATAAAAACAATGTTACTGCTTATGTCATGCTTACAATGTTATTCTTACACCAAGCTCTCACATTAGCTTATCACATTACACTTTAAGAAAATAATTATTAGATTTTATTGCAAACTAAACTTTACCATAATTTTATGTATTGTAGTACATTCACACGTAGAAGATTCAGACGCCGCCGTCCAACTAAATTCTAGAGGTTTGAAATAATTATAAAAAGCAGAGGAGTATGAATCAAAAACACTTTCTCTTTTAATGGTTTATTAATCGTCCACTTCATCATAAACAAATAAAATATCGTCTAAAAACGGTGCATGTGGTACTAAATTCTTTTGATGCCGTGCCCAGCTTAGGTAGCACATTATGGACATAACATGACAACAGCAACCTACAGTTTTTTCCTACTAAGCAATTAAAATGATACTGTTTGATGGCCTGTCTACCATTTAAGAGAACTGTCAACTAAAATATATGTAAAATATGTTTTTGAGCTTAAGTACGTCTCCATTTTATTTGACCTCTTAACAGCCAGCTAGAATGGTTGGATATAGACAGTTCTTTTAGTAGGTTGCTGTCCGTTTCTCAACACACTTTTATTTCATATCTACCATCTTGTCATATGTGTTCTTCATAATGGGACCTAGCCTACTTAATTTGATAAATACCTAAAGATATTTTTATTAAATCACTATGTGTGAGCTGGGGAAAATCATTTAAGTTATCATTTTGCACATGTATTCTTGTAAAATCAGAAAAGAGACCGTCAGAAACCTTTATACGTAGCCAGAGTCGTTAAAGATCAGAATATTATTACAGAACACAAAAACAACAGAAAATATTCACTACCGCCGCAAGCTCAGATCCAAACAAACGTAACAAATGATTTGATTGACGTTTGAGTTTTTGAACTAACATTGACATTTCCGCTTTGTGACCTGTATAAAACATTGATAATCGATTATAAAATCGATTTATTAATCTATTCAGTCAATTTATTCTTACGACTTTTTTGAAACGTTGAAGTGTCACGAGGAAACCATTATTTAAATAATAAGTTTCTTAAACTTACCTAAAGAAGAAAAGACTGAATCACTTTTTATGGTCTTTTTTTCTATTTTGTATTAAAATCGATTAACTAACCTATTTCATCCGGCAGCATTGTTTAAAAATGAAAATAACGGAAGTCAGTATTATTTTTATTAAATATTTAATTTATTTTGCCATGACAAAACTGTTTAATATTTCATTATTAACTAAAAAAAACTGTAAAAAAATATTGATAAATATTTCACTTGTGTAACGTTACGCCCAAATTCGCCCGTCTCCTTTGCACATAAATATTTTAAAGATTATGGTGTTTGCCAAATAAAACAGTTATAGTCACCGTATCACACTGTCTGTCACTAATGTTGGTTGGATGTTAAATACACATTATAATAAAAAGTACTTGCAAAGTTAAATTTAAAATCCTGCCACTAGTGGTAAAAAATAATGTTATTCTGCTACAAATAGCTGTTCAAATTTTTTTTTTCTTAATATAAGAGTATAAGGTTCAATTTTTAACAAACTTATGGTAGCGTAGTAAGTATAATTAATCTCCAGACTAAGAGAAAAAAGTAGTTAACATGTGTAATTATTGCATTGCATTTAAAGCACACATTTTTCTTAATGGGATCATTAGCAACATACTAACAATATCAAACTCCTTCATTGTGCTTTTTTAAAATTATATATTATTGTTTTACAATTTAGATTATACATAACACTTATAAGTCAATTGTTTATTTTTACTGCTGATTTAGAAACTGCCTATATATAGCTTCTTCATTGCTGTCTGTTTGTCTATATATATATATTATATATATATATATATATATATATATATATATATATATATATATATACATAGAGAGATACCACTGACTGATGGACTCATCCCAAGATCTCTAAAACTATACATCCGATTGACTTGTAGTTTAGTAGTTTTTTTTTTAAATTTAATTTAGTTTGATGATTGACAACCATCAAAGAAATTAATCTTGATATTTTACATCCAGGTTCCGCAATAAAATTTTATTATGCGCTTAGCAAAGCGAGCGGGTATAATGTACATACATTAAAACATAAATAGCTTTGATAAGAATAAAGATATTCATACTTTAAATACTAAGAACAAACACAAGTTTTAAATGCTAGTTAATGGATTTCAGAGTAAATAATTTATGGGGCAATGTTTATGCTTTTACAAAAATATCCCAGTAAATATGTTTGTCCCATTAAATGTAAAACTGTGTAAAATGGGTTATTGTTATTATATATATATATATATATATATATATATATATATATATATATATATATATATATATATATATACGTTTAAATAATTATATATCAGAAACAAATTTTCTTTATAAAGGCCAGTACGGCTTTCGCGCCAGATCAAATACTCTTTCGGCTACAATCGATCTAATTACCAAAATAAAAACTAATATTGATCAAAAAAAGATAGTTGTAGGTATATTCATCGATTTGAAGAAGGCATTCGACACCGTGTCACACTCCATCTTGGTCAATAAATTGCAAAACATTGGTGTATCTGGATCAGCTTTAAAGGTTCTTGAATCTTACCTGAAAAGTTGACAACAAATAGTAAAAATCGAAAATTTTAAAAGTAATCCATGTGATATCACCTGTGGTATTCCACAGGGATCCGTCCTTGGTCCTTTGTTATTTTTAACCTACATAAACGACATCGGAAACCTTGGATTGACGGGAGAAGTATCTTTATACGCTGATGATACATGTTTATTTTATTTTGGAGATTCAATTCAAGAGATTATATCAGATACACCAGCTGATCTAAATACACTGAGGGAATGGTTTCGGTACAATTTGCTCACTATAAATGTAACAAAAACTTCTTACATGGTTTTTACTGCGAAAAACAAAAACGTTTCAAATTCGATCCCTTAACAATAAATAACCAAGAACATAAAAAGTCAGAATCAGAAAAATATCTTGGTCTCGTTTTAGATTCTAAATTAACATGGCGAGCTCATTTAGATTACCTGCAGTCCAAAAGAACATCATTGACAGGAGCTTTGCGCAGATCTACACGTTGTATACCTTATAAAGTTCGAAACATTATTTATAATTTACTAGCTAAGTCATTACTAGAATATGTGGCGGCACTGTCGTCGCGCCACTAGCACACCGAAACACACCGAAGCCTAAATCGCGCTATTAACACTTTATTACACTTCCACGGCCACAAATATTTAATAGAGATATGGGGAAGTGCATCTAAAACTAATATAAAGGATCTTCAAATATCCCAGAACAAATTGTTAAAAGTTTTATTCCAACTTGACTACCGCTTTCTTACTAAAACTGATACATTATCCATAAGTCAATTATACAAATACAAAACGTGCATACTAGTCAGAAAAATTCTCTTAGATTCCATACACACCCAAATTAGTTTTAAAACGAAATCACATAAACACTGTACACGAAACAAACATAAACTATTTTTTACTAATACAAACAACAAAAGAACAAAATTGGTCTAACTTTAAAATGCTAAGAAACAGTTGGCACGAAATACTAAACACCGCTGCTGCATTCATGACAAAATAACTAATTATTCGTCCACTGATGTGTGGAAGTTCCTTAGATCTTAAAATCCTAAAAAAACATAAAGTTCCTTAGATCTCTCGGAATTAATAAATCATTAATGGTTACTTTGTTTCTCCTTTTAAGACACATAGATATTCAAATGTTTAACATTAGGTAGGTATTATAAATTTTATATATATTTCTAAAAAAAATTACAATTTTTAAACTGTTGGCGTTGAAAGAATTTTCTAATTGCAATAGAGCATTATTCATGTTGTTGTAATTTAATGATTTCTGTTTGTGTTTGAAAATTAATGAGGCATCATCAGCAGATACTATACTGTGGATGTGCTCTATATGATCCCCTACCCCTCCATGGGATTTTAGCTTAAATTTGGAATAGATCAATTTAAGAAATCATGGTTTTTAAATTTTTCACAGAGCATTTATGTGTACAAAATTATTTCAGACGCGAGCGTGCGGGCTTAGTGCATTTGTTAGAAGTATCCGGCCCGAAACGACAACTTGTAAAGAGCTATAGTCGATCGGCTGCTGACTCCAATATGGCAATACCTAGGATTCTAAGGCCTTTTTCAGTACTTAAACAAACCATTGAACATCTTTTACTAAGGTAATTAAAATTTACTGTTTCTTTCTAGAAATAAAATTATTCATTACCACATTTCCATACAACTTGTGTCATCAAGAAACTGTTTAAAATTTTCATCGCAAAAGCTGCTAAAGAAAATTTTTGTACAGCCATTTTGTATTGAGGTATAAATATCTGAGCGAGAAAAGAGAACAGGCCTTTTCGCTTACATCAACATCGTTCAATCATCATTACATTAATATCAAAATTAAAGTTACTTTGTAGAGGACATTGCGTCGTATGCTATATAACTTTTTTTTGTAAATGCTACCACGGCTCATATAATATACAACTCGCGGCAAGAAAGTCTACGAGTGAACGTTATTGCGTATAATTGGCCGTATTACGCGTTATTGCTTGTGATTGGCTGTGCGTATCGTTTGCACGCGCTGATTGGCTCTCCGGTCACATTCCGTCCCCCATACTGATACGACATTCGCTGCTATCCCTTCCACGTTTCGTTCAGCGCTAGAGTTCCAAAAAATACAAAATCCAAATACTTATTCATAACACAAGTCTCATTTACAGAGTTAGATATGGATCTCACCCTTTTAAGTTAAAAAACCTGTATTAGGATGAGTCCGCTGTTCCTTTAATTAGTAAGTCATTATAGATATGACTTGTCTTACATAAAGATAAATCAACAGACAAAGACAAACAGACAAAGTAACAATAATTATAATAGCTGTGTGTGTGTGTGTGTGTGTGTGTGTGTGTGTGTGTGTGTGTGTGTGTGTGTGTGTGTGTGTGTGTGTGTGCGTGTGCGTGTGCGTGTGCGTGTGCGTGTGCGTGTGCGTGTGCGTGTGCGTGTGCGTGTGCGTGTGCGTGTGCGTGCGCGTGTGCGCGCCCGTGTGTTAGTTACGTGCCGCGATGTCAACTAGGAGTGACATTTTGATTCTTAATTGAGGATAGAAATAGATTGTCTATGGGTCAAAGCACTTACCTAACATCAGTTGGACAGTGTGTCTACTTTCTATATAAAAATTGAACTTTCCTTAACAGCGTAAATATAACGATTTAATAAGTTAAACTTATTTTAAGAACATTTAAATTATTAGGTTTTTTAAACTTTGCTGTCTGCACTATATACCCGTTCGAATCCCACACGGAACAAGTATTTGTGTGGTGTACAAAAAATTTTCCGGGTCTAGATGTTTGTCCTTGTGAAATTTATGTACATAAATTGCTCCCACGATACAGGAGAAAATACTAATATGAAGGTAAGGTTTATTAAAAAAAAAAACATAACGAATTAACTATCAATTTGACATCATTCACGTTAACGAATAGGCCTGGTCCTTCTTATTACAGTGTTACATTGGATGTAAAAAGCAGGGCTGCCTAAACTACTCTGGAAAGAAAACCACATCCTGTTGAATACATCATTGTTATAAAATTAACAGCATTGTTCTACTTATGCTGCCACACTTGGCAGGTAGTATTTTTATAGAAGAATGGTAACAAACAAGCACACAGTCCACATGATGGTAAGTGGGCGGCCCGCGGCGCGACACAACAGACACTAGCCATCTGCGCAAGCACAAGTGCACTCTCTATTCCCTTACTCTCATAGTCTGATGAGACGGAAACCGACAGGACCGGAGAGATCATGCGCATGAATATCGGCATTGCGTGCTGTCCAAAGCACGTGGGGCGAAACACTGCCAACTTCCTTACTCCGGATTGCCACGGAGAATTTATTGACATGAAAATGCAGTTTTACAATACCACAAAAGGGGATGTGATGTCTTTCTTCTTTCTGAACCCCTCCTGAGATGATCCTCCATCTATCGGAAGCCAAAAGATTTTTCTTTTACAACGCCCACGAGACGAAATCAGGTGATCGATTTTCTAAAGCGTGGAAGAGAAATAGGGTTACCAGATAAAAAATTAAAAAATCCTAACAAATTACCTGATTTCCATACAAAAATACATTATGTTTCATACATAAATAACAAGCAAACAAACTAATTAATTATATATTAAAAATCTATTTCGCAGATTCCACCCCTACCTACCACACAATAACTGAAAAAATATTTGAAAATTTTTATTGAAAAATGGAGAAAGCCTCATATTTCCAAAATGCGACCGCAATCCTGACAAGAGCCTAAATGTCCTGACATTTTTTTTTATTATAAAAAGGGTGACAAACGAGCAGACAGTCCAGCTGGTATGTGGATGCTGTGGCCCATAGACATCTTCATTTATCCTCGATTAAGATTCAAAACGCAGATGCGTTGTCACCCCTGAGGACTAAGATGGAATGCCTCGTTTCCAGTAAAAAAGGGATCTGTATATGTTATATCTAACGACAAGAGAAGTGATGTATCATTCACAATGTAAATTAATTTGATGTGTTTTCAGTGTTACACAAAGGAACGACGTATCGCTTCCATGTTTGTATGACTTCCTGAATGACCGTTTGCGTGCAATAAGACAGGATATGACGATACAGCGGCTGCCGCCAGATGAATGTATACAATTGCTTGAGCCCATGATCAGATTTCATGTTTATTTTGGATATAGGTAAGGTGTTTACGTAAACCCTACCTACTTCTTCATAGAAGATAACATGTTTTTCTTGAGTATTCAGATGTGTTAAGATAAAAATATGTCAAAAATCATAAAGATTGGGATAAGTTCATACCTCATATAGGCCATGCCATTAGAACTGTTGTACATGAAATAACTGGCAAGACTCCTTCATACTTGTTTTTTGGTAGAGAAACCTTACAAAACAAAATAGATTTCGGACCAGATAAAGATGATTATGTTAATGTAAATAAAAACTACTTCGAAAATAATTTATTACTTAGAGAAGAGATATACAAAGATGTAAACAAAAGGCTGCGAGAGGCGTATGAAATGTGAAAATTTAAAAGCAATAATTATAATATTGTTTTCATAGAATTATAAAGTTCGAAATAGAAAAATGTTTTTGTTCCATTTTTAACCATTTGTTCCATCTTTAAATCTGTTCCTAAGTCTCATTAAATTTGTAAGAAATATTACTTGACTCCTCAAAAAAATGCTGGTAAATAAACAATAAATCGTCGAGGATATTAATATTATATTCTATCCATTTGAAAAAAGTGGCTTACAAAATATTCTCTTAATTAATATTTACGGACAGAAGTTTCATTCTTTTTATCACCCCAACCTATTTTCGAGATGTTTGTGCCGTTAGCCTATGCAAGCTCGTCTGACTCAGGGCTTACGGGCCGCGAGCTAATTTAAAAAGGGAAAGGCAAATGAAGGTGAGGATGATGATGGTTTATGATTTGGTATTGTTACCATTCATCATGTCGCCTCTTTGGTCCTTTTTGAGCTATCTAACCGTACCACCCCATTATAGTCCTCTACTTTGGCAAATTATCCACCCTACTATGAGCCTCTCATAATAGGGCGGATAATTTGCGAAACTCACAGAATACCAATGTCAAATAGCAGCTTAAAGCTGGTAACGCTGTATTCTATCTTTGTCCTCGAAAATGACAACGCACCTATATTTTGGTTCTTAATAGAGAATAGATGTAGATGTCTATGGCCCACAGCATCCATTTACCATCAGATAAACTGTATGCTTGCTTATCACCCTTAATATATAAAAATATATAAATCGGACAATAAGTTAGTCACATACCTTAACAATAACACAACAAGTTTTTTTTTACACATTAAGGGTGAAAAACGAGCACACAATTCACCTGATGGATGGTAAGTGGATGCTGTGGCCCATAGATATCTACATTTATCTATGATTATGAATCATAATGCAGATGCGTTTTCACCCCTGGGGCCTAAGATGGAATGCCTCTTTTCCAGTAAGAATGTTCTCCGGTTCTCTACACTCACCATACGAAACACAGCAGCCTTAAGCTGTTATTTTATGCTGGTGTTCTGTGAAGAGCGTAGTCCTACCCCGGTCGAGTCGTTCGTGCTACAATATAGCTGCAGAGTGGCTCTACCACATACAATAAATGCCTCACAGTAAATTATTAACTAAATTACTTTAATAAAATAATAATTAATAACTACATTATCCCTAATTATATAAATTACGTGTCACGTTGTTTGTCCGCGATGGACTCCTAAACTACTTAACCGATTTTAATCAAATTTGCACAATGTGTGCAATTTGGTCCAACTTGAGAGTTAGGATAGTTTTTTGCCCATGAGTGACCCACAATTTTTTTTTGCGAATTTAAGGATTTAAGGTCATGACAAAGAGTCGTTGAAAAGGGCAGAACAACATCTGCCTGGCAAGCTAGTTTTTTATATAATATGATGTCTGTCATTGTCAATGTTTAAGTGCGCCTTTATATAATATAATAAAGAAATATTTTTATTGCAGATTATCCGGATGTTCTATAAATGAATTTGACCCAGTACTGAATAAGAAGTATCTTTTGGAATGCATGAAATGGTTTCTATATTGTTGTGATATTTTAGATAGACAAATTAAAAGCAACAAGGTAAATAATGATCTAAGTGAATTACTGTCGGCTTGGTCATTAGACAAGAAGCCTGTCCAGAAACTTACATGTGATAAAATACTTGTGGAGAGCTTGTATATATTATGTAATTTGGATGACATGCATCCATTGTTCAGGTTTCTAACTCTGCAACCAGAACTGAGAAGGTAAATTATACTGTTAGTTTAGTTTAGTTTACAAGGGTCTGTTTTCCGTAACTCGACGTCTAAGCGCGTATTTTGCGTGTAGACAGGAATAATGTGATTATTCGAGCCATGATATCTCCCCGAAGAAGTTCAACAGTCCTTTGATGTTGCAAGCAACTTAGGGGACCGATCCCCTTCTGGCCAGTTCAGTTTAATATACAATTATACTGTTAGAAAAAGGTCAAAAAAGCTGAAATGGAAATGGGCAGGCACTATGCACGAAAGACCGACAAACGACATGGAAGAAAGTTTTTCGAGTGGAAGCCTCGTACAGGTTGGCGAAGGGCGGACCCTCACTAAATGGAGTGACGAATTGGTAAAAGATGCGGGAAATCGATGGATGCAAGTGTCTTAGGACCGAGCTTTGTAACATTCCTTGAACGTAGACCTCCAACGGCGCAAAAAGGCGTCAATCAATGCATTACACGGTAGGCGTACATTACACGCTCATGCGGGCGTCAATCAATTCCATCAATCATGATTGATAAAAAACGGATGGTGACTGATAGGCGCACATTACGCGCTCTTGCGGGCGTCAATCACTGCTTTACACGGTAGGCGTACATTACACGCTCATGCAGACGTCAATCAAATTCCATCTATCATGATTGATAAAACAGGGATGGTGACTGATAGGTGTACATTACGCGCTTATGCAGGCGTCAATCACTGCATTACAGGGTAGGTTATTCGTCAATCACAACCGTGATTGTTGTAAAACTGACAGCCTTCATAAGCGTGTAATGTACGCCTTGAAAATCGATTTTAAAATTTTTGTCAAACGGACAAACAGAGAAGGAAGTTAATGAAAACGTCGTATATAAGGTTTTTTTTTCAGCGCCCCTTTACTACGATTGACCTATGAAATAGCAATAGCAAATTTAAAAGGCAATTTCGTGAAAATTTGCAGACTTTCAGAAAAACTGTGTCCATTGACTTATTGTGCGTTTAATCTATATCTACCAACACTTCAACGGTAAGATCATTTGTAACATCACGAAAAGCTGTGACAAAACTTAAATACATATATGTACTAGTGCTGGTGTGACTCAATTACTATTAACTTCACATTTCGTCGCAAGTTGATATTCCATTTTTTAATGCTGCTATGTTTCGTACGGTGAGTGTATGACCTCCAGACCTAATTTCGGTCACGGCAGGATTATAGTGCCCAAGTGTATTCGCAAGCACAGGTACACTCTATCCCGTCACTCTCATAGTCCGATGGGACGATAAACTGACACGACCAGAGAGAGTTTAGGCGCAGGACCAACGTCTTTACGTGCTTTTTGAGGCACGAGGGTAAAACACCTCCAACTTCCTGACTCCGGGATTCGAAACTGGGACCTCATGATTAGCAGTCGCGTTTACCACTACTAGACCAACGAGGCAGTCAGTGAGTGTATGATGCATTCAGTCTTAGTCCTCAGGGGTTAATCAATACACCATAGCTACAGATCAATCCAGGAGATCGAGCAGACTACGAGCAGTCTCATCGGAGAGATCTTTACTCCTTCACCTCTCACACTTTACTCTCATATTCGATGGGACGGAATCAACAGAGAGTTCAGGCGAGGAGAAGGGGAAACACCTGACTCGGCTATAAAAATGTTTTGATAGTTTAACCAACAAATAAAAAAAACAGATTGCATAAACTAAGATATCTATATTGTTCTGGCCATGAAGGTTAGAGAACAGGAGAACGATCGCCGTAGAAAAGAGTGACCCAGAAATATGGTCACCATAAGTGAGGCGATCGCTAAGTTCGCTCAATAAGTCATTTTCAGTCTATTATTCCGATCATGTGCTAAATCACTTGCACATCCACGCACAATAAAATATTTTTCCATTTTTTAATGTTTCTTTTTGTCAAAAATTACAAAATTACGGAGCATGAAAATTTTCTCACCAATGCTGCGGAGAAAATTTGTACATTCAACTAACTTCATCTACATATACTCATAAACAGCTAACTTCGCAGTCACTACTCACCGACGTCAGCGCCGCTATAAATTCTACAATTTTCAAGGACAGGCGAGCTATGTTTTAGTACGTAGTAATTGTTCTCCTGTTCTCTAACCTCCATGGTTCTGGCTACAATATAACCTTTTAATTTTACAGGAAAGCATTACATGTAATGAGCCATGGATACAGCAGCAAGCAACTGACAGTGCCCACTGAGGTGGTGCAGAGGTGGCTGGCCTTCGACAGCGATGCCGATGTGAAATCAACCTGTCAACACTACGGTCTGAAGGCGAACGGCGTTGTCCACTTCGCCAAAGGGGCTTTTAGGAGTGACGTGCAGTTGGTATGTGGTCCTACCTCTGCGATAACTACTTATGGGATTTTATCTGTATACAACGTGGGGCTACGATGGCGACTTTAATTTAACACACATATACGTTTTCACACTTTCATTTCATGACGAAATTATATTTCCATTAAACGTTATTATTTACGGATTTATTTAAAATTTTAGAAAATAGCATGTTAGAGCAGCCTGTACTTAAAGAACTGTCGCGCAGCGGTCATTTGCCGGGGTCACGGATAATAACGTTGCATCATCGAAATTAAAACTAATAAGCAGTACTATTGAAGGAAAGAAGATTTGTCGGCGAGCGGTCGGCGCAGGAGACACCTGCTCCTCCCCCGCACCCCGCCGCACTGATATCGAATTATTTTTATAGTACTAGCTGAACCCGTGTCCTTGACACACTTGTTCATAGCAGTGCGCATAATTAGGTCGACTAATATTTTGGTGAATAATTCCGCGAAAAAGACGCTTACCTATTGTTTTATTTATTAATTTTTGTGTAATTAGGTTATGGTATTGCGACAAAAACGCTTTGTTTTGTTTTTTTTTTTTCAATCTAGTTGGTACATTTACATCTCTTGCGATACGGACGCTTTTATTTGTGTTATTAGTGCTTGTGTAAACCTGTGATCGTGATGGCAAATACACATCCGAACTACACAGCAACTGAATATGCGGACACGATTTTAATTTACGGAAAATGTCATCAAAATGCCGCCCTTCCGATTAGAACATATCGCGAGAGATATGGCAATACAAGACAATGCCCTACTCATTCTCGCACTATTGTAGGAGCTCTTCAGCGCATCCGCGAAAACCGACCAGTGGATCCTAGGTATCAACGCCCTGATCGACCGCCTACACGACAATACCCAATCCATTTAACTTGAAAATGTGATACCACTTCGAAGACCAACCCAAAACTAGCCTCCGCCAGAGTGCTAGGCATTTTCAAGTCCATCACAGAACCGTCCATAGGATATTAAAGCGCGAAAAGTGGCACCCATTCAAGTTTAGAAAAGTACATACTCTGCTATCGCGTGATAAAATAATAAGAGTTAATTATTGTCAGTGGTTACTGAGAAAAATTGAAGAGGACAGTGACTTTCTTTCCCAAATTTGTTGGACTGACGAAAGCACGTTCACCAGAAACGGCATGTGGAACCAGCACAATCTGGACCACTGGGCACCCAAACACCAAAATCTGCGCGTTTGGCGGGAGTCAGCCCATCAGTACAGGTTTTCGGTAAATGTTTGGGCAGCAATTCATGGTGACAACATCATCGGACCCGTATTCATTGATGGGGCTTTGAACGGCGAAAGGTTTGTTAATCTATTAAATAATACGATGTCAGAATACACAAACACCCTAAACGTCCATCCATACCAACAAATGTGGTACCAATTAGATGGCGCGCCTGCACACTCTGTAACAACAGCCAGGCAGTGGCTAAATGACACGTTTGGTGCACAATGGATTGGTAGACCATTGTGCACCAAACGTGTTGTTGGACCTCGTAGGTGGCCAGCAAGATCGCCAGACCTCACGCCACTCGATTTTTTTTCTGGGGGTGCATCAAAATGGATGTACACGCGGAGAACGTAGATTCGGTGGAACAATAACGCCATCGAATAATAAATGCGTTTGAGAAATTGAGGGAAATAGCTATAAGTGACAATTTATTTTCAAATGTGCGAGAAAACATGAAACGCCGTTTAGTTCTTTGTATCTGTCAACAAGGTGGTCTTATTGAAAAAATAAAGACAAATTAAAGCAGTGATTAGTGATGACAGTTAACAAATAGTAACACGAGAGTGTGATATGATACGTGTTTGACTAAGCATCTCCGCTATAGGTACCACTTACGACGCGCGCCGCCACGCCGATAATTTTCTTTGATAAACAAGACACTTTGCGCGGTTGCCAGCCCGCTAAACGCTGCGTTGCCGCTTCGAGTTAACGTAAACCAGCTAGATAAGTATTTTGATGAATGAATTTTCGCAAGGTTGATCCCAATTTTAGTTACTTTTTTAATATTTATTTTTGTGTGAAAAAAAATAATTTTTCAATTTACGAATAATTTTAACTTAACAAAATGAATATGATTAATGGTAACTAGCCCTACCCGTGTATTAAATTAAAGTCGCCATTGTAGCCATACGTTGTATTTAATATAAATAAAATTAAAGTTTCTAACTGTAATAATAAAAAAGATGGTTTTAATTAAACTCAGGGAATTATTTGCATGCTATTGACATAAAAACCATATTTAAATTTTTTGTCTATGTTCACTCTTTGGAATGGCTGAAACCATTGCAATAAACTAGCTACTAACTAGTTGGTGGTTATAATAGGTACTTAATGATTTCTTCCACAATATTATAAAATTGTTGATTTCTTCTATTTACGTGAATAAGTATTTCTTCTGTTAACATTCAATAAGTTTTCTTACGGATTTTTTCGTCCTAAATTTATTTTTTCTTAATTCGTATTTATCCCATTTTAGAGAACTACAATATGAATAACGTATAAGACAATACGTCCAGCACTTTAGAACCTTGTGATGTTGCAAAAACACAATACACAAAGAATTTACATAAATTAAAATTAAGTAATAAAAAATTGAAGTTTTTTAAGTGTTTTTTCGCGTCTATAAATGATTTGTAAAAAGTTGATATCATTGGCTTACTAAATAGCATAAAGTAGTATTGTTTAAAACATTTTAAATACTTTATGTATTTTGGTGGGGATTTTAACATATTTTATAAAGAATTTCATGTGGAACATTACTCATTGTTCTTTACTGGTATCATATCTACACAACTACTAGGTTAGCCAAGTTAATTTTAAACTAATTTAATAGAAAACTATTAAAATAAAATCACGTGACTTCACGTTGGCATTCACCCCTCCTATTTGTTTTCTATTAGCTTTATCGATTGTAAAAAGTCACTTTAGTATAAAAACAAAATTTTGTATTCTTTTTTTTTTTCAGATAAAGACGAAGACGCAAGTAAAAGATAAACTAAATTTATCTATTGGAGAAATCCTCTCATATGGAGTTAAATCAAATTGCTGATAGCTTTGGCGTGTTACTAATGATCAGAAACAGAAAATTGTTTACACCGTAAAGAAACGCTGTGATCTCATATTGTTAAGTAAAGTTATAACATTTAAATATTATGTGAATTATATTTGAATAAAAGAACAAATTATAAAGGAATCCTTTATTTATTTACATAAGAAAATTCACCTAATTATGTGATAACTAATTACATTGGACAACAAAATCTATCTAACATGAAACAGTTGTACGGCTTCCAGAACGTCATTCATTTTTACATGACGTTGGACTCCCACAGGAACGCTTGTTAAAAGTCTAATACACACTTCAATTACTTTAACAGCTTTAGAAATTAGGGTTGTAACAAATAACCAGTTCGCTTTCATGTTATGCAAAAAAACAATATCACTTCATTGTCACTCAAAAAATTACTTCTGTATACTTTATTTTTGAGTGAAATTTGTATACACAAATGCCTTTAACTAAACCAATATTAACAAAACGTTTGAAAACGTAGCTTCGACACAACCCTAGCTTAAGTAAATAGCTGCAGCGTTCTCACTTACCTTACAACTCGTAACACTTTTAACGTAATATATTTTTACGTAAAAATAAATTAATTGCAATTACTACATCGTGATTTTAATTACAATAACAATTTATTTTTTAAATATCTGATAGCCCATTGCGCACAATTGACGAAAAATGGTGGATTACAAGTTTTTAAAATCAAAAAGATTTGCGTTAACAAACTTACACTTTGATTTAAGCCGTGAAGAAATATTGGAGAAACATATTATGGTATGGTACAGCTTTTTTCAACAATAAATAAATATACACGTAAAACGCTCCCTCTGTTTGCTCCATTCTGTACATGTGTAACAATACAAAAACATTGTATCTACTCAGCCAACGTTGACTATGCGTTCCAAGGGAATTCATCTTTATACATCATTAATAATAAAACACGATTATTAAAAAAATCAAAGCACAAAATAAATATTCAAGCTAAAAATTGTAAAAATTTGAAAGTATTTAAATAGAAGTCCCTTTTAGTTATGCAGAAGGATAATGACAAAATCTTTCAAATTAGAAAATATATACCACAAAAACACAAGTTATGTCTTACAATATCCAGATTTTTTTATAAAAGTCAGCGATTAGTTTTCATTATTTTTTTTAAAATGTCAGTGAAGCCATAAAAATGTTATTTTTTTTAATAATAGGTACAAATTAATTTTTGTATGCAATGTCAGCTAAAAACAGTTGGAACCCATAGCTAACGCCACAGACCGCAACTACTACCGCAATAATATGGCCATTTGGTAACCAATATATCGAGAATATTAAAATTTAAAGCAATGCAAGTTTTAAACTGTTCTGGCGCTCTTCGCTATTATTCGCAATCTTAACCAAAACGGCTTTTAATAAATATTTCATCTGATCGCTGAGGGCCTTTTGCATATACACAATAACAATGCTCAAAATTTACATTTTTTTTATTTCATAACATATATGTTATAATAATAATGTCAGCTTCAATAGGCCCATAGCGTAACGAAAACACCTAATTTACCTAATATATATACGAAATTCGTTAATTTACAAATACAAATACAGAGGACCACCAGCTCGTGACATTTCATAATTTCATTACATAACTTTACAGGCAATCCCAATAGAAAAACAACCCTATATATTTATGAGTTTCGCATATATTATGCTTATATACACATGCAATTCGCAGCACCATGCTGTTGAAAACAGGAAGGTCAACATCTGATTACAAAATCACAACAAAAGTGTTAAAACTTGAATAAAATGTAACAAGAAGCTGTGATCTCATTAAAACACCTCCACAGCGATAAATTAAATTAAAATAACAACAAAAGCATTTAAAAGGTAAGGTACAGCCACAAACCCTGCTAATATAATATAATTATTATTATACATGGAGTAGATGCAAATTTGTGTAAAAGAAATACCCATCTGTATATTTATTGTATTTCATATATATATATATATATATATATATATATATATATATATATATATATATATATATATATATATTAATTAACAAAGATTTCGACTTTTAGTCGTTTACGACCTATCGGAACTATGACGCATATAACATTGTCACATAGTTGTTAATATCCTCGAAGCAGTTAATCGTTTTTTCAATATCGACTCTAATAAACAATTATGTACGACAATTATTGTAGTGATCTTATGTTATTACAAAGTATATTAAAACATTGCCCTATTAAAAGTGTTAACTTCAAAGTTTAATTAATTTTAACGAAATAATAGTTACTTTGATATACCTCACTTTCACATTCGCTAAATTTAATATAAAATGTTAATTTGGTTACTATTAAACACAATATCCTAAATAGGTTTTCATTTATTTTAAAGTTTATAGTAAAATAATAAAGCAGATAAAGATTGAATATGAACAATATTTAGTGAAACAAAACAGTTTTAGTTAAATTGCTGTATTATAATGTTTTCATAAGCTTATTGATTTATCCTATTAACTTCAATAAATATGCAACACAAATACTTACTCTAGTTATATTAGATCAAAAGGTTAGTTATATTCAATCGCTATTAACAACAGTGTATTCAGTGATTAAATTAAACTTTGAAGTCTGAATTACATGTTTGTACACAATAACAAGAAATAATCTCGCAGGACGGGAGGATGGATTGCAAGCAAATTATTCATAAACCGAATAAAGGCACAATGCAAAACTTCATAAATGTCAATGAGCTACTTCGTACGCAGCAGCATGTATTGGAGTTACTTTCAATCGTCTACGAGTTGAACTCAACAACCATCTGCATTACGAAAGCACAGGGGCTCGTCCGCCGTGTAAATGATGTCTCTCGCATAGCTGTAAAAGTGATGTCACTTATTAGTTATAATAAACAACGAATGAGCGCATCCACGACTTTTTGTCATATTTTATGAATCAAATATTTTACCATATATGTTTGGATATGGTAAAATATTTGACAGATTTCATAGGAAGGGAAGTTAATTTGTTAGGAAAGTGTTAAGATTAATGTTTTTCTTTTTTTCTAAAATATTAGTTAATCAGATTAGTGTTAAAAACCTAATGTAAAGATATGAATTGACGTGTGCGTGGTGCTTTAAAATGTTACGTGGCAGTGCCTCACTACTGTGTTCTTGTTTCAAGGGTATAGAGAGCCAGAACAATTTAAGGCTGCAAGACAATCCATCTACATCCTCTCCAGAGGTGACAACCCAACTGTAGCATTCTATATTTTTATTTTTATAGGATCGGAGTGTGATATATGTGCACACAGTTCACCTAAAGTTAAGTGGACGCTGTGGCCCATAGACATCTACATTTATTCTCGAATAAGAATCAAAATGCAGATGAGTTGTCTCCTCTGAGGAGTAAGATGGAATGCCACATTTCCAGTATAAAGGGTCTCCGGTTCTCTACACTCATATGAAATACAGCAGCAAATTGCTGCTATATTACGCTGATATTCTGTGAGATCATGTTCCTACCCCAGTCAAGCCGACCCATTCGTGCTGCAACCGTAATATAGATGCAGGATATAGGAGTAGTTTTCCGCCGAGGTGACGGTCTAGATAATTAGCACCTTCTTACCTATTTGTGCTATGTTCCGTTATGGAGGGTATTAAGATCTAAAAAATGGGCGTTCATAAGCGGCGGTAGTCACCATCAAGTGAGCCGCATGCTCGGATGCCCCATTTTATATTTAAAAATAAACTGGTTGTGAGGCAATCCATGTTAGTCCTCAGTTGATAAAACATATCATCTTATTCGAATTTGATTACACGTGTCCATGGCCTGAAATAACTGCTTAACATGTCTAATGGACTATTAGTTTGCTTTGGTGTAGCGCCTGCGTCTCTCTGAACGAGTTAAACGTTATACTCTTAATAATTACGTCAGTAGATTACGTTAACTTTAAACAGGTGGTTCTTTGTCCTTTCATTATTTTATAACCCTTTCAACTGTTCCAAGATACAAGTTTACGTTCATTTATTACCATTCATTACAGCCTATAGAATAGAATAATTTTTTTATTCAATATAGATTACAAGTATAGTGCCACCAACTTATCTGTTCAGGTGGACAAAATTGGAATTTTTGGTTCGTTTTTCCAAATCAAGCTTTTTCCGTATTGTAGTTATAGATTTTGTATCTCTACTGCTCAGTGTAGAAAAGTCTTGAACTTCAATCACGGGGGGTTTGTTCAGATCTTTTGCTTGAAGCTGGTTAATAAACTCACATCTCTATGGATTTCCAATATAAGTAAGTGGTACTTTAATATCTTTTAATGCTTTCGCAAATCTATCCCACCCTATCGGATCACTTCTTTTTAAGGGTCTTAGTGAATCATTTATTAAATCAACAATATTACTTTTTGCGACTTTTTCATAATCTGTTAAAAGTTCTAATTCTATTTTGTAGATTTTAGCATTGCATTCCAACTTAAACCGCGAGCTGTGTAATAATGGACAGGGTCTAAACCATAAGTATTAATACATAGCTTTCTAAAGTTTTCAAATACGTCAGAAAAAACCTGATAAAAGCTACAACGTCTGTTTTTAAACACAAGTTTGAATAATCTAGCATATTACAACATTCATAGTGTTACCAAACATCTTTAGCATTATTGAAAACATTATTTGAAATATGGCAATCTGTGAGCGAGCTATATATAGTGCCACCAACTTATCTGTTCAGGTGGACAAAATTGGAACTAAGGCCGCCATTTTGTAAATGACATTTCGCTGTCAGTTATTATTTATTCTGAGCTATCAGGTGAGTGTTTTTAAAAAGTGCAAATAAAATGCCTAAAGCTCTTAAAAGTGATGCGCGACAGATTATCCTAAAAGTTTTATCTTTTATGAAAGAAGAGAAACGTGTACAAGCCCCAATTATACCATTTGAAAAGCTGTATGAACGCGTTACTGCCGCGACAGGTTAGTATTGCCAGATATGGAAAATTAAAATCACCTAATAATGTCTAAATAATTCGTCTAAATTACCTAGCTTTGTAATTTGTGGTCTGTGAAGTAGCTATAGTGACGGCATATACACGGGCTTATATTTATTTAATTTTACCTATACAGTAATTATTTGTCGTTTCGTTACAGGTGTTTCTGAGCGATTTGTACACAAACTCGTAAATGAAGAGAAACACGCTGAAGAATCAAATTCTAAAATTTCTACCCCTGGCAAAAAAAGGCAAAGAAAAACCGGGAAACAAGAAGTTGATAATTTCGACATTGGTGTTATAAGAAGAAAAATTCACGAATTTTATTCAGTGAAAAAAGAAATTCCTACCATACCCAAATTACTGAGTATTTTAAAAGAAGATATTGATTTCAAAGCAGAACGTGAAACTCTTCGAAAATTGCTTCACAAAATAGGATTTCGTTATAAGAAAACAAAATCAAATAGAAAAGTGTTGTATGAACGTAACGACGTAGTTGCATGGAGAGCAACCTACCTACAAAAAATTAAAGAAAATGAGTGTGGTGAAAAAAGACCTATTATTTATTTAGACGAAACTTACATACATTCGTCTCACTCAACTGGGAAATGTTGGCAAGGTCCTGAAGAGGATGGCGATTTGGAACCTGTTTCGAAAGGTAATAGGTGGATCATAATCCATGCAGGTGGAGAAAAAGGTTTTGTGGAAAATGCACTTCTCGTATTTAAATCAAATACAAAGTATGGGGACTACCATGATGAAATGAATAGCACTAATTTCAAAAAATGGGTATATGAAAAATTACTACCTAATCTGCATGAACCTTCTCTCATTGTGATGGATAATGCGCCATACCATAGTATTTGCGTAAATAGGTGTCCTAATTCAAACCACAGTAAGGCTGATATGCAGAAGTGGCTTGTAGAAAACAATGTGGATTTCAATGAACAAATGACAAAACCACAGCTTTATGAGTTAATAAAGAAAAATAAACCTGCTCCGGAATATGAAATTGATAACCTGATGAAAAGTTATGGCCATGTTATTCTTAGATTGCCGCCTTATCATTGCGACTTGAACGCAATTGAAATGATATGGAGCTCTATGAAAAGGAACATAGCAGACAAAAATGTTGGAAAATCTAATGTTCTAATGCCCCAATTAATTGAAGATGCATTCAATAAAATTACACCGGTGCAGTGGAAAAACATTTGTAATCATGTGAAAAAAATTGAAAATGCATACAGACTAAAAGACGCGTATTTAGATGAACCCTTTATTATAGAGTGTCAGAGCGATAGCGAAAGCGATTCCAGTGACTCAGAAGATGAATTATTGGAATCAGTAGCTAACGCGGGTACGTCTTTCAAAACAGAAATTCCTGGAGTTCGGCCGCTTGAACTCCGAGACCACGACCACAATTATTTTTATAAAATATAAATAATATATATAATAACACTAATTCTCACTAATTTTAATATATTAACACGAAATTTGTTTTATTTTATATTATGTGTACCTAATGAATATGTAGTCACCTATTTCCTCGGCGAATTTCTTAAATGGCAATAGTAAGCACTCCACTAGCGACTCTGTAAACTGAACAGATAAGTTGGTGGCACTATAATTCTTATTGAAAGTCAATTTTTTTACTTTACCACTGGTTCGCAAAAAAACCTCTGTCCTGGGAAGAACCAGCAAGAAACCCAGCGGAACTTTTTTTGTTGTGTGCAATGTGCAAGCGGGATTTGGAAAGGGAATGGGAGTGTACAGATCAAGTCTTTTTCATGCGCATGATTGCGGAGAAGTTTTTAGCGAAAAACCAAAAAGTTTTTTGTGCTTTCATGGACTTAGAAAAGGCTTATGACAGAGTGGACAGGACTGTGTTATGCCAAACACTGAACTCATATGGGTTGAGCGCTGGTTTGATACAGGCATTAAAGTCTCTTTATAGGGACTGTAGTGCTTGTGTCAGGATGAACGGGGTCTTCTTTGAATGGTTTGGCATCCAAAAAAGTGTCAGACAGGGCTGTGTAGCTTACCCTTGGCTGTTCAACCTATTTATAGACAGTTGTTTCAAACTTGAAAGATGAAGTTGAATGGCGAGTTAACCGTCAAATGCCTTTTGTACGCCGATGATCAAGTGATATTTGCGTCATCGTCGGCTGAGTTGCAAATGATGGTTACATTAATGAACTGGGCATTAAAAGGAAGGGGAATGAAAGTAAACGCAAGTAAGACGAAAGTGAAGGTTTTTGAAAGAGAAGAAAGCAAAACTGTATGTAAAATAAGAATAGAAGGGGAGTTAATTGAGCAAGTGAATGAGTTTGTGTATCTGGGATGTGTATTTAGCAGGGATGGTAGATATGATAAGGATATAGAACAACGAGTAAATGCAGGGAATAGAGTGAATGGGGCACTACACTCTAATAAGAAGAATCAGAATGTGTCAAAAAGGAAATTCAGAAATCAGATTTTTTTATTTTCTTTAAACATGGTAGTGCAAAGATGTTAACATTATGGTACGTCCTCATGTTTGACTTACAATTGTCATGTAAATTTAAAAGCAGTTACATTTTAGTCTACTTAGAGCTAAAAATAAGTTAATAGACTAAACAGAAAACTAATGGTAAACATGAGTCACAAACAGAACATTACATGTCATCATTTATAAATTGTATATATAATATTTTATATCAAATTATTCAAATAATAAAATAAAGTAAACGCAGAAAAGCTACAAATACAGTTAAAATTTAAAAACCTCTTGGTCATTTAAGTATTCCTGGACTGAATAAAAGCACCTAGTGAAAAGCCAAGAATGTAACTTTCTTTTAAACAATGGTAACGGCAGAGCTTTGAAACTTGGATGAAGCTTATTATAAATTTTAATAGCCATACAATAACAGCTTCGTACGTATAGTTGCAGTCTTATTCTAGGTGCATGATCCTTTCTCGACGTCTGGTAGGTTTATTTTTGTTTTGCTCTCTAGTGACAAAATAATAAGAATGTTGTCGTACAAAAATACACATTTGTTTTACATACAGGCACGGCAGCGGTAGGATTCCAAGTTTATTGAAAAGGGACAGCTTTCAAGAAAATGTACTCTGCAAATAGCCCTAATACATATCTTTTGGGCTATGAAAGCCCGGTTTACATCCGCTGAACCTCCCCACAATATAATGCCGTAACTTAATAGTGATGACACATAGCCATGGTAGGCCGATACAGCAGTTTCAATGGATGATACATTACTGAGTCGTCGTAGTGCGTATACAAATTTATTTATTTTCGTACATAGATTGTCTATATGTGCTTTCCAGTCACAGTGTTTATCTAAAGTAAATCCAAGAAATTTAGCTTCATGAACAATTTCAACAATATTACCGCAATACTCGACGAGCACATCCATTGACCTTGCTCTGTAAGTAGTAAACTGGATTCCCTTTGTTTTTTGTATGTTTACTTTAAGATTGTTTGAATGTAGTAAATTGATTAGATTATGTAAAGTCCCATTAACAATGGCATTGGATTTTTCTATTTCGTCACATTTTATTACCACGGTAGTATCGTCTGCAAACATGTAACATTTATGTTGAGTTGCATTTGGTAAGTCGTTAATAAATATCAAAAACAACAGGGGCCCCAAGATACTGCCCTGTGGTACTCCACATGGGTTGACACGATACTTTGACCGAAAAGTACACTGTCTGGATTCAACGACTGTTGCTATCTCAATACATTGCTGTCTATTATACAAATAACTTTCCAACCAGCCATAAGCGTTACCTCTAATACCATATCGATATCTATAGTTTATCCAGTAATCTTTTATGTGGAACAAAGTCAAAAGCTTTGGTCATGTCTAGAAATAGAGCAATAAGTGGTATCTTTTGATTAATACATTCAGTAACATAATGTATCAGATTGTAGCAAGCCAACGTAGTAGAGTGACCTTTGCGAAAACCATACTGTTCTTCTGTGAGTATATTATTTGATGTAATAAAGCTATCAATGCGCTTGAAGATTACTTATTCATAGATTTTATAATATTCCATGTCGCTTTACATTTATTAGAAGCATTATTTATAACTCTTTGGTTTTGTAATTTTTGAGCCCTATAAATGCACTTTTTAAGTATTTTATTGTATTTTTTGTATGCGTATTTTTTAGATATTTTAGAAATTTTATTGCTTCTTGTATATTGGATATATAGACGCCGCTTATTTTTACACGCAAGTCTAATGCCTTTACTAAGCCATTTCTGGTATCTGAATTTATTACAGATCTTAACAAGCTTTATTGGAAAACAGTTTAGAAAACAGAGTTTATTAAATAGATCAATCACGTTATGCAATTCGTTGAAAGCGTCATTAGCATTTTTATTATTATATACTTCTGAAAATAATAGGGCAGACATACAGTTTCTAAACTTGATCAAGTTTTCTTCACTGTCTGTATAGTATACTCCTTTTAATCAATTTCATTTTAAATGATATAGTTTGGGCTGTTTCATGGTCAGATAGGCAAACAAGATGTGTGCCTGATTAGGCCCTATACACGTTACTGGCGATCTGGTCAAGACATGCCTTTCCACGAGTAGCAGTATTTATGTGCATTTTTAAGTTAGAGTTTTTTAAAATATCGTTTAAGAGTTTTGTTTGTTTTTGCCGAGTTGGTTTTAATATGTCTATATTCCAATCGCCAGTCAGAACTATTTTATGTTTGGGTTTACTTTTAAGTAAGTTATGCAAAAGTTCTTGGAGTTTGATAAAAAACAGATTTACGTCAGAGTCCGGTGTCCAATAAATGTTAACAACTACCAATTTGTACATAGGTATTTCTGCACCGCAGCACTCAAAACTCTTAGACAGTGATAATTCTCTGCAAATGTTGAGTATTCTTGAGTCAAGGTGGTTTTTGACTAAGATGAATGAACCACCACATTAGCAGTAAGCAGCTAATTTGTAATTCGGTATTTTAAGATTTACTTCGTCGCCGCTTTGAATAAACGTTTCACTCAAGCATAACACTTGTATGTCTAACTTTTTATCCTTGAATTCTTCCAGTGCAGCTTTTAAATAATCTGATTTATTAAGAAGTCTGGTAATATTTTGATGCATTATTGTAAAGTTGTTATGGACGCAAAAATTCTTCCCTATTCAAGTCATTGTTGATAGGGTGAATTTTCTGTGGTGTTATTTGAGGGTCGTTTGTTTCTTTTGTTTCGTAGATGTGTGATGTCTCAAGATGCGAACGAAGTATCTCATTAGGTACATTATTTAAAGTAGCATTAGGCAAGGGGATTGTTGGCATTTTCATTTTTAGAATGTGTCTTAATTCCTTTTTTTAAATTAATGAATTCATTCTTATATTTTATGTAATCAATTTCGATATTTATTTTGAATGTCAGCTTTTGTAAATGCGTTTTAAAATTATTATGTTTATATGTGTTCATGTCAATAAATGTACAGTTGTTATATTTCCTACTCAACATATGAAGATCATTATTTAGTTTTTTTTACATTTAGATTTCGATTTGTCTTTACATTTATTAGGAGACACTTACAGTTCTTGTATATAACTAGAAAATTGCATACATTACCATATAAAAGATATGGATCATTATCATTAGAGCCTACAGATAAAATTATTACATCGTCTTCATTCATATTCTCAGGAATTACATTGAAATTCGTCATAATGTCCCTACTTTGTGCTTGAGATTTAATTATGCTGGTAACGTTATACACGTCGTTATATTTTCCATAGCGATATTCAAGTATTTTGATCGCCAAACCGCGCATTTGCTGATCTCCTAGAATAAAGATGTTTCTCTTCTTTGGTTGGTTTGTTTCCGCAAGATTTTCCTTGTTTTCGGAGTTCCCTGCATTAATTCCTTCAAAGCTTTGATTTACTACCGATGATGATCTTGATTCATAGATTTCCTTCCTTTTCTTGCGTTGTTTAATACTCGAGCTACATATTTGTTTTAATTGGTTAATTTTGGCTTCTCTTGCAGCAATTTTATCTGTTAAGTTGGTATTTTCTTGAAGTAGGTTTTCTATTTCCTTTTCCGCTATAACCAATCTCGATTGTAGATTCAATATCTTCTGTTTTAATTCTTCCAAATCATATGCCGTAATAGTTGATAACTCTGGACAGCTTCTATTAAGTGTTGTATTACAGTTGTCTGCATCATCCTCATCTGCCAAGGAATTATCAGCCAGTGATTCAAATGAGTTTGACGTTGAGATATTTACAACGCACTTATTTCTTATAGCGACATGCTCATCATATGGAGTGGATGCGGCTATTCCAGAACTTGAGGAATGTGGCTTTGTACAACAAGAAACGCATTTCCAGCGCCTTTTATGTTCGTCATTCATAAGGAAAAATCTCTTTTCAGCTCCTGCACAATCGATATCGTAACTGGTATTGCATGAGGTACATATTAAAAATTGTTTTCTTGGAAGTTGCTTTGAGCACTTTCCACATTTTCCAGTCATTTTGCAAAACTGGTTGAAAGATGTACAGAAAAAAAATATAAAAACATACAAAAAGAAGAAACTCGTTATGCAAGATTCGAACTCACGATTTCACTAAATAGGTGCGTCTTACAAATTCATTACTAAGACCGCTAGGCTACACTTGCTACTAGGACACAGGGTGAAAAATGCATACAGCTTGATGCATTACAGATTGTCGGAGTAATTTCTTGTGACCATATAAGGCAATAGCGTTTGCACTCGTTCAATCGATGAGTCACGTTAACACGACACAGTGTAACGACAGTTTATTTTGGTACTTTATCACCTTTGTACTGTTTTTAAATCACTTATTTATACAAAGTTTCTTCTGTAAATATAACACACTCTCCTCAATTTTGTAGACGAGTTGGTGGATATAGTTTTTAAAAGAAAATTTGCACTATTTATAACGTAAATAATTATACACATACGAAGCGATACGTGTTTACGTGCCCACGGGCGCTCGCGCCTGCCTGAGCGTAAATCAGGGCGAAGGGCGCAGTAACACCTCCTACTCGCGAAGCCAGTAACACCTGCCTGACGTAAAAATCAGGTGGCGAAGGGCGCGGTATGGTAATTCATAATGCTGTGTTAGTCCCTAATTTAATAATAAGAATAAATACTGTAGAAATGCAATCTTTAAGGAGTATGCTAGGGTTGAATCTGAATGACAGAGGTTCAACCCTAGACTAAGAATGACGTTGTGACCAGGATTAAGAAAGGAATGCTTCAGTGGTTTTTTCATGTAAAAAGAATGATTTAGGAAAGAGTGAAAGCAAATTTATATGGCAGATGTGAATGGCAAAGTCAGGAAGGGACGCCCTAGAAGAAAGTTTATCACAAAATATTTACAAAATGTATTTTAGAAACAGCTTGGAAGCGACTACCTCATTCCACCACGACACCACCTCATTATCAACCACGTATTCATTTATATCATAATAACCCTTGCTATACAGTTTTTGTTTAATTAAATATTTAAACTTGGTAATAGAGAGACCTTGTATATTTATAAAAGTCGCATATAAAGCTTCCTGCGTAAATTTCCTCATATAGATTTTGCCATAGTTGCCACGCTTGGTTGGTAACAGCAGTCTTTTTTATTATTTTGAGTTGATAACCCTTCAACAGTCAAATAGACCGGGATGGCCGCACCGGACAGTATAAACAGCCGCTGCGGCTTTCTATGTTGCTTGTGTTTGTTGTTGTTTGGTTTTTTTAACCTGTTCGTATTTATGGAAAGGCTTGTTGATAGACAAAGCTAGATAACAAATAATTTCTTATCTGTAATTTACTGACGAATTTGAAGATTTGCCAGTCGAATATCGTCAATTAAATAGCGCCAATTCAGTGTTAATTATATCTCATATTTAGTGTTTTCTTGTTTATTATTGCTGAAAACATTGGATTATCGAGAAATATAAATTATCTTAATATTTGCACGTACTTTTGTGAGTTTTCATTCACTTTTGTTGCGAAATTGATGTGTTTATTTTTTACGAATATTGGGTACCCTCCTATTTAAATGAGTTTGTTACTTCAATTTTAGCAATAATGTTATATTAGAATATAAACTTTGGTGAGAAAAACGTTTTTATAATAGTTTTTTGTATAAACCACGTCATTATTCCCATAAAATACAAAAAAAAAACAAGAATTAAGTAAAACATACAGCCGCAATGGAGTTTACTGTTTTAAAGATTTACCAGTTAGATTCTGCCACCCATCACCTGTTTAAATTTCTCTTTGTAGAAACTTAGGTCACCCACGAAACGATACCACAGATTTTAATTTCCAAAGGTGTAACCGTGTGCTTTAAAATAATTACCGTACGCAGCGTCGACGCTATTCACCATAGTCGGTCTTGGTGTCCACCGCCACTACACAACTTATGTCATTACCGGTATCGTTACAGCTTATCAAAAGCCCACTGCTAAATATAGGCCCTGTTATAGATTACCTCATAAAAGGCGATATTAGCTCTGAATGCCACGCTTGGCAGGAGGTTTGGCAACCTGGTTATGGAATAGTGGATATTCGTACACCGCCACTACACGGTAGTTTAACATACAAGTTGCATTAAAATTCCCTTATACTCCCGAACACGCTTGTCACTTCATTTTTTTAAACAAAACACCACTCAGCTACCCACCGATAGTCTCCAATTAGTCTAATTGTGCTTGAGGAAAGCGTCATCGAACAGCTCGAGCTCGTGGCTGAGGTAGTTGGCCTTGTTGCGCAGCTTCTTGGCGGAGGTGGAGGCGTCGTCCAGCATCTTGATGGACTCGCGCACCTCCGACAGCTCCGTGTCCATCTCCGTGGTCGCCTCGTCGATCAGCCGGCACAGCCGGGCGAACATCGTCGACAGTTCCCTGGTTGACATCAATACACTCAATTATTGTATATTTAACTGATCTGCAAGCAGTTCTTACATATAAACATTGACGAAAAGTTTAATTATATATATATCAATATCAGCACCACCTACTGCGTCCAATTGTAAATCAAGTTAATGACACAAAGTTTCATCAAAATCGCTCCATCCGTTGAGGAGAAGTTCAGTCACATAAACATGGACAGTAGAATTATATATAAAGGGTTTTTCAATATGGACGCTCGAACTTTGACAGCGTATAGCGGCCATTTTGGTTAAGCGATAGCTGTCAAATTTAAATTTGACAAAAACACTTATTTAGTCTCGGCATTTCACCATGGAATGCTTCAAAAATCAGTGTTCTGTTCGCATAACGATCCGTACGTTGCGTCCAATTCACAGTCCGTCTATTGAGACAACCGGGTCGGTAATCGATGAAGCAGTGCCTGTAAGTTAAAGAAACGCAAGATCGTTGGAAAATATTGTTGCTGTTCGGGACAGTGTGCGAGAAAACCCCAGACAGTCCACTCCGTGTCGTGCGCAAGAGTTGGGTCTTTCTGCGACATCAACTTGTCGGATTTTGCGTCGAAACTTGGGTTATCACCACATAAAGTTCAACTAACTCAAGAGCTAAAACCCAACGAACACAGACAGCGCCATGTATTCGCTAATTGGTCTTTAGAGCATTCGGCGGCTGCTTTCGGTAAAAAAATCATCTTCAGTGATGGGGGGTTCATTTCTGATTGAGTTGCTTTGTAACAAACAAAACTTTCGTGCCTCTACACTCCGAAAGTCACTGTTTGGTGTGGATTTTGGTCCGGCGGTATCATCGGGCCTTATTTCATCGAAAATGCGAATGTAGTCGATGACTTAGAGCATACATTATGGAGGGAGCACTGTGTGAGCAGAAAGCGTGATCGGTGCTCTAAGGTTTAGGTAGAGTCTGTCTCTCTCGCACATGCTTCTGATTGGCTGGCGTGTTTTCCACCGTTGCATCGCGCGAGCGCATGCCCAATGAAACAGCCAATGACAGTGACTGTGCGAGAGAGACAGACTCTACCTAAACTCAGTCTCTCTCTCTCTCTCTACGCCGATCACGCTTTCTACTCACACAGTGCTCCCTCCATGTAATGTATGCTCTAAGGTCGATGATAATAATTTTTTGTGGCCGAGAAACGTGTGGTTGCAACAGGACGATGTCAGTTGCCATACTGCACGGGAATATTGGATTTATTGGATGATAAATTCGAGAGATTTGTCATCTCGGGTTGTGGCAACATCAACTGGCCACCGAGATTGTGTGACTCGGCACCGCTCGACTGTTCTCTGTGGGGCTACTTGAAATCTCAGGTCTGCAGACAAACCACTGACAATTGTCGCCCTGAAGGCCAACATAACAAGCGTTCTTCATGAAATTGAGCCCCATTTACGCAATGATTTCGTCTAAAATTGGTGCACTAGCATACACTATCTACAGCGGAGTCGCGTTATATTCCATACATACTGTCATTGAATGTCCTAAAAAAATTGTAGCAATATCTCTTACACTGGTTGTTTTATTTCATTTCAAAGTTCGACTGCTCTTAATGGAAAACCCTGTATAAAGATAATGTCCAAATACTCAAACGCTGCTCAATTTTAAGATCCCGCCGTTTCTCATGCTGTCTGGTGATGTTACAGTCACTTTAAGTCAAGTGGCTGCAACACCACAAGACTTAGTCATAAAATTGTGCACCGTTTGAGTATTTAGCCATTAGCTAGTTTAGTTTACGAGGGGCTGTTTTCCGCAACGCCACGTCTAAGCGCGTATTTTGCGTGTGGGCAGGAATAATGTGATTATTCGAGCCATGAAATCTCCCCGAAGAAGTTCAACAGTCCTTTGATATGAGTGATCCCGGCGTGCCGAGATGTTTAGCCCTGTATGAAGCGACCTCCGGACATTTCAGCAACACGTGAGCCGCCGTTTTTTCCTCCCTCATGCATGCCCCTGCACGGGGGGCTATCTGTAACACCTATGGTAAATAAATGTTTGTTAAAGGAACCATGGGCTGTGATAGCACTTCTTACTATCCTCATCTTTGGCTTGTTCAGTCTCAGCCATTATCTAGTTAAATGTGTTAGTGGCGTTACTGTGAAGTGGCGCTGTAAGAACATCCACTACCCCATATTATCCCGTGGGTGTCAGCGACGGAGGGAAAAAAATCGGGAGATGAGCAGCAGCGTCCTACTAATATATATATATATATATATATATATATATATATATATATATGTCGGAGCAAGTACATCATCGGTTGACAAAGCATAAGCTTTGCATTGTCTTTTAATTGATTATAATAATCAACGGTGTATAATTATTAATACTACAATTTAATAAGAGCAATTTATCAGAAACATAACATGTAACTAGCTAGTTCTTTAAAACTCTTTTGGTTTACAAATCTCTTTATTGACCACTAATTCCTGGTAAAACAACTATTTATTCCATTATCAACTTTTAACTCAAATATTGTTTTAAATCGTAGAATAAATAATTGTCGATTTGATTATTAATCCTGGTAATTGAAATTGCTTAAGTAACCTAATGAATTCAATAAAAAGTTATTGTTTAGTCAAGTATTGACCAATCAAATCGTCGACCAATCAGAGCACACCTAAGTCGTTATTACGTTTTCCTTATTGAATGAACGCGGCAACAGAATCACTTCAGTTCCAGCGCTCGTCAGTGTAGTTCTATTTTCCTGGTAAAACTTTGCAAGTATTATTTGTGAGTCTCATAATAGGAAGTGTAGAATAAAGTTGTAATGCAAAATTAAAAGTTCGTGGTCTTAGATCTCTTTCATTACAATGGAAACAATATGCGGTAGCTCGACTGAACCCTTGTCAAATGGGGACAGTGGTGCTGCCTCACCATAAAACAACCACTAGGTTTTCCGCTCCAACAATCATGTAGTTGTGTCCTTCACATTGCGCCGGTGTGTAATTGTGACGGGGACACACTGCAGTATGATCAAACTGTAATTACTCTATGCTGAATGTATAGAGCGTTACGCTGTCCTATTATTGATAACAATAAATTGCGCAAGCAAGAGAGCAAGTTGAACATCAGCTCTCACATTTTTACCATTTTTAATAATTAACGCTATCCTGTTATTTCCCATACAATTGGCTTATCGTGTTATACACTATATCCGACATATACAATACGTAACATAATTAACGCACTTTGAGAAAGTAGTTTGTTCAGAATCGTTTACTGAATCGATTCCTATCATTTTTAATATAGGTAATTTTTTATCCCAAAAACAATTAAAACTACGTAAATTACAGTCACACTAAATCTGTACAGTCAAAACAAACTGAAATGGACCGTAACTTTAGGTAATAAGACTTTTAGGAGTGCAGTTTTATTTGAATTATTGCTAATTCTGTCATTCAATAAAAGTAAAGAAAAATGAACTTTATTTCAAGCACGTTAGTCTTCGAGTTCGTGGATTTGTACTATGACCACAACATTCTTCCGGAATTTGTATAACTAATTTGATAAATAATCAGTGTATAAAAATGTTTTAACTAAAAATTCAGTGTATGTATTATGGCTATAACATAATATAGTAATTGGGGTGTCTGAGGGTGTGCGTAATTACGTTACGTATTGTATATATTAATACGACTAAAAATAAAAAAACTGCAGTTGCTAACTCGGTTGGCAACGTGGCAACTACGACAAATATTCTCCCTACAAGGCTTATCGGGGAGGCCTATGTTCAGCAGTGGACTTTAATAGGCTGTAATGGTAATTAAATGACTGTAGATTCTGCATGCATGAAGTTATAACAAAACATTCGCGGTCTTACTCATAAAAATCGACATCAATTTGCTTAAAGTTGCTCGCTCTCTCTCTCTCTCTCTCTCTCTCTCTCTCTTTCGACTCAATGAAAATTTAAAGAGACAGTTGAGATAATTATCACTTACAATAAGGTAAAGCTACATGTACTTTATTGTTCATTTTTGTTTAACTGTATATAAAATAACATATTTTAACACGAACTTCGTTCGCATGGAATTTATTACAATAAGATTTCGTGAGTTTTCATTTCTTTTCATGCGGTACCTCAATGATTTTTCTGAAATAAAATAAACCTATGTTACTCCTTATAAAAGCTATTTGCCAGTAAAGTCCTGTCATAGTCATAATAGCCGTTTCGAAGTTTAGCCGGAACAAAAAGACAGAAAAAAATGTAAAATTGTTTTTTTTTTTTTGTTATAAATTCTGTATATACTTTCATATGCATTGAGTAAAAAGCTGTTATTTTGACATTACAAACATACACTTCAATTTTAATTATTTGTATAGACAACCACTACTCTCTTGTATGTTGAGGGAGTTTTAAATTCTCGGCTTAACTCAATGAATGTGATCGCTATCATGTGGTTTCTAATGTCATTATACCAATTGTATAAAAAAATAACTTACTAAACGTTAACTGAAAACTAAAACTAACTTACTAAACGTTAACTAAAGGTAACTAAAAGTTAACAAATTGTATAGTACATGACTAAAAACAACGTTTTTAAGTCACGTACCTAAATGCGGGAAATGCATATTCTGTGAAAATTTCACCTGTCTGCGTATTACGGATCATTTGATACAGCCCGCTGGCAGACAGATGAACAGCCGAGGCTTAGTAATAGAGTCCCGTTGGTTATCCTTCGGATACGGAACCCTAAAATTAACTTAATAGATATTCTTGTAATCCATATTGAATAAAAATGATTCTTTTCTATTGTATTCAATAAAAGTATAGGAGTGTAGTTACTGTTGCACTTGATGGCTGCAGTTGGCCGAGGTGAGGTCTACGATGAGGCGCAGCTTCTTGCTGGCGTGCGCGACGTACTGCTTCTTGAAGAGCCGCTCCTGCGCCTTGGCGGTCCACGTGAGCCGCTCGTACGCGTACAGCGCGCCGTACAGAGCGCCGGTCACCACCACCACCCGCCACCCCACCGTCTTCAGAAGCTGCAACACGTCACACCATACACATTACTCTTATACAACAACAGTAAACTCCACGTGATAGTACGAGGATACTGTGGCCCGTGACAGCTACATTTAACCTCAATTAAGAAATAAATGCAGATGCGTATCACCCCTGAGGACTGAGATGGAATGCCTCGTTTCAAGTAAAAACGGTCTCCAGTTTAGATCTCCCTGGCCAATGCAAAGGTAATAAAACCATACATAAATTGCGAACGAAAAATTTGTTTAATTTTTTACTGATTGAGTTTTCTAAACTAAATTGTATAATTCTTCTTCCCTTTTTATGGCAGTTTTAATCATTCACTAATGTCAGCGTCAAAGTATTTATTGAGTAAAATAGCTACCAGATACAAATACTCTGTCCGTTTACAAAAGACAGTGATATAAAAATGTTTTTTTTAATGAATTCTAAACTGTAGAATTACCTATAACAAATGACAAACACAGTTGTTACAACTACCTTAGTATTGACAAACATTAATGTTTTATGCTATTGGTGTTAATGCAATCACACATAATTTATACAAAACGAGTGTTTGTGTTAGTTAAAAGTGAGTCAAAATTTATAGGACGAAGGATGTCAGGAGGGAGATGATCTTAGAGGGAACAAAATAATATAGGACAGTTAAAAAAAATGGTCGGTAGTTCCCTCATCTAATCCACACTCACAGAGGGAGCTACTCCTGATCCTCAATTTGGCTAAATGTACTAGTATGCAAGCATGGCCAATTCTAAGCCTACAAATAATTGATGTTGCATGTTTGTTGGGTTTATTAAATTTGAAAAACCATGGCTTTGGAGGGATGCAACATTGTATATCAGCATAGTGTTTACTTTTTATAGTTTGAGTGGATTTCCATAACCTATTCCAATTATTATTTAATCTCTATGTCCGAGCAGTAAACTATACTACACGGTAAACCATTTCCAATTGCGTTTTTAACCATCAGATCAGCTGTTTAATTGCCATTTACTCCATTATGGCCTGGAATCCAAGCTAAAGAAACCTGGATGCCCTTGAGATGACATCTTTACAACGTGTGTTCAATTTGGAGGATCAAGGAATCTTATATTTACTATGCAATTGGTTTGACAAAATTGCTAACAAACAACTCTTGGAGTCAGTAAGAATTACCGACTTATTTAACTTATGTGATTCGATGTATATCAGAGCTTCATGAATTGCCGTGGCCTCACCAGTAAAGGTGGAAGAAATAGCAGGACATTTAAAATTAAGAATTATTTTGTATCTGGGAATCCAAACTTCTGCTCCAGTACAACTTTCATCTGACCTTTTGGGGGCATCAGTGTATATAACAAGCCAGCCTTTCCATAATTTATACAACATATAACATAATTAACGCACATCCTGGAAATAGTTTGTTCAGAATCGTTTACTGAATGAAAAACTTCTTATCTCAAAAATAATTAAAACTTCGTAAATTACAGTCACACTAAATCTGTACAGTCAAAACAAACTGAAATGGACCGTAACTTAAGGCAATAAAACTTAAGAGTACAGTTTTATTTGTATTATTACAATTCTGTGATTCAATAAAAATAAAGAAAAATGAACTTTATTTCAAGCACGTTAAAGTCTTTGCGTTCGTGTATTTGTACTGTGACCACAAGATTCTTCCGAAATTAGTATAACTAATTTGATAAATAATCATTGCATAAAAATGTTTAACTAAAAATTCAATGTATTGTAATACATATGAATTATTATATGATGATTAAAACATAATATACTAATTGGGGTGTCTAAGGGAGTGCGTTAATTATGTTACATATTGTATATGACTCTACTTAGTATACTAGTTGCTATAGGAGAATTTTTGTCAATATCAAGATCAAGGTGAATATTTGGTTGGTAAATAATTGCCTCATATGGGATATCAAAGATGGGACAGGACTTGCATTGTGATACTGGTTATGGTAGATGGCGTAGAAACCACGCTTTAAGAGAGATCTTTGTAAGTCCAGCAATGATTTGATGAGATATATTCCAAAAGAAGGTGTAATTTAGAAATGAGAGGGTGGGAGGAGAGTTGGAAGATCTTAAAAAGGAATCGGTCTGAAATATATTGCCTTCTTAGGTAAAGACGGGTGTATTTATTGGGGAAGATACCAAGCTATTTCTAATTTGTCTTGTTGATTGTAAACATGATTGTAAGCTACTATTGGGAAAAAAAATTGTCCCGCTGGGTTTCTTGCTGGTTCTTCCCAGGACAGAGGTTTTTTTTTGCGAACCAGTGGTAAATGAAAAAAAGTGACTTTTAATAAGTATTGTTTATAATCTACATTGAATAAAAAAGTTTCTGTTTCTGTTTAATTTTTTGTATTACTTGAATGAAGATACGAGTCGAGTTGAATGTGCTAACTTGTAACCGCGCTATTGTGCGGCATTTATAATAATAATAATAAATATATATAGTAAAATAATTAAATACAGTCTATTTTTACTTGTTTGTGTGTCATTTAAACTAGGCACCTAGCATAAAGGTATTAAAGTTATTTATATACATTTAAATATTGATTCTGATAACTAACTTAATGGGAATCACAGGGTTTTTGTTATATGTGGTATAGTTTTATATTATGATCTCAAATAATTTTTATAATATTTAAGGAAATGATTATAAAACTAACTGGTTATCAACACCATTATCGAAAGACATTAAGAGAGAAAGTAGCTATATTTTCTTTTACACACTATCTTTATTGTCTTTAAAGTGCAAATTTATATGTACCAATCCAGAGAGCAACAGGCCTCCCATGGTGCCCTGTGACGTGAGCGCGCCTAATGCAAAGCGGGACACCAGCCCCCACTCCTCGGCGCTGAGCGGGCCCACGGCGCCCGCGGCGCCCACGCTGCCGCCGTTGTGCCGCACCACCTCCGCGCTCACCGATGGGGGGCCGATCGTCGCCGGAATCTGAACACACACATATTCATTGTAAGCCTGGTCAGGCGTCACAGTCGCTATTGACTTTACAAGGGACAGCACGAGACTTAACGGCGGCATCTTAAAATTGAGCAGCGTTTGAGTATGTACTACCTTATGAATTCACACGTATAAATGTCAACACATCTCTTTTGAGGTTACCAATAAATAAATATAGATGTGTCAAAAAGAACAAATATTGGAAGCACTAGAGATGTAACAAAGTTTTACCGATACCGAAAATATTATTGGTTTTAAATTTGTACTTGGCTTAATGAGAAGCTAAATAGATACGATAAAATACGACAAAAAATATTATTTTAATGACCTACGAATAAACTCATATTTAACATTTTTTATCAAATTGTAAATTTGTTCCCTCTACAGAATAACATTAGAAATTTGCAATATTAGATTCCGTCTTCTGGTTACGTATTATTACTATATAGTATATACTATATATATACACAAAGAGTTGGGTAGACCTATATCCCTACTATTTGATAATACTATTTAATACAGACTATTGCATATTTGATATTTGTGATATTTATTTGCTATTGTGTATTGATATGATTGTCTATCTCTATTGTATCTATTGTATGACCGACATAGTCCAACGGATTAGTAAGCTGAAATGGCAATGATTTTGTGTTAAAGTAAATAACATATGTATATATGTTCATACTTTTTTATCCGATTTCGCGCTTGCCTTGTGTTGCCTTACCTATACTGTACTTTTTTTTGTTAATCTATTTTTTTAAAACGTTACCTCTACACTAGGATTTTCTCCTGTATCGTGGGGGCAGTTTACAAACATAAATTGCACAAGGACAAACATCCAGACCCGGAACAATTATTTGTAGGCCATACAAATACTTGTTCCGTGCGGAATTCGAACCCGCGACCCCCAGCGCAGCCACTCATTGCTAAGCCACTGCGCCACGGAGTCGTCAAATTTAGTACTATTTGTACTTTTTTTGATATTTTTCATTCCCATAAACTATTTTTGCAGTTTTCCTGCAGATCCGAATCCGGATATAATACATAGTAGACATACACACTCGATCGATTAATGATTATGGATGGGTTGAATTGTTACGACCTGGTTAGCTTTTAATAAATGTTACTATTTCATAACTTTGAATAAACATTACTATTCCGTTAATACAGTATTATTTATTAAAGGAAGTAAGGACCTTCTTAATAGACCAACATTCAGTTTTAGTTAGTTTTGTATTCATAGCAACTTATTGCAATTTGTGTATGTTAATAACGTAGATAAACAGGCCAACACGATTCAAAGATAACAAATAATAAAGAAATACTAATTTAAAGAAGTATACGAATACGTTTTCTTCCACGTTTCGAATTCAGTCATATCACGTTATCTCTTTGAGGATAAAAGGTAACCTAGCCTTTTTATTCTTACCAGCTATCTGAATACCAAATCTCGTCAAAATCGGTTGAATGGCTTATCATTTTCTATACAAAGTTTTATAACCCATTTCACCGTTTTTATCCAAATTGCAGGTTTAAGGGCTAATACCAACTAAACTAAAGTAGGCTTTACGGCCTACTTAACTACTAACCAGGCATTAAGCTAAACTATCTCAATTTTGTAAAAATAGATATAGCGGTTTAGCCATAAAATCTTGAAACAGACATTCGCATTATAATATTAAAGTATTGATTTGTCATACACATGATTCTGAACAACTTTATTTATATCTTTAATACATTTTGGCAGTAAATTACGTTTTTGTCTTCTATTTCTTGAAGTAAATTTAGGATTTTTTTAATCGAAAACTTACAAAGCGTCGTGTATTTGGAACATACAAAACATTGTTTCATTTAACTTTTACAAAGCGATTTATCTTTTAGTATAAACTGTACATAATTAACAACAAAAAATATTCTTGAAATTTTTCAAAATAAATACAGTCAAGTTTTACCGGTGGTTACCGGTAAGTCACTACACATGACTACATCCCCAGCGGTGATACCATTTTATACTACCGTTTGCTTAAATGTACAGAGTAATATGATGGTTTCTGGTTCTTAAACATGTTCAACTACTTTTTATTTACAATTAGAAAAAATGATACTTACTGCGATTGTATTTACTATTAGTTTGCACACTATTTACAAATAAATATGTATTAAAATTTAAACGATTTATTTGTTAAGTGATGATCATAAACATTAATCAAAAGACTAAAATGTGTAAGTTTGCTGTCTGTCAACACAGCGAACTGGGTTTGTATTAGTAATAATACGACGTAATTGCTTGCATGTGTGCTCCCGGCGACGCCGATCCTCGTACAAAATAAGGTTGACAGCCATTAATTTGTGTATTATAGTATTCTATGGCAAAAACTAACCCACCCATTGAGACGTATATAAGCAAAAATATTTTTTTTTTTATATAAAAAATACTAACCGGTGTATACTGTGGTGGGTTCTTTAGTGCAATTTTGTTGGTATTCTTCCCTTGAAAGCGTTGAATGAGTGCAGTAATTCCATAGGAAAACCTAAACGATAAGTCCTCCTGGAAGTCCGCACACAGGTTGTCACAATTCAATCGGTACAATACTTCGAAGGGTTGCTGGTGAGGGATAATGTAGTTGGCAGCTGCCGCTCGCTTGTGAGCCGGCAGGATGTTGTACATTCGTTCTGAAATAAAGTACAGTCAATTATATATAACAATAGTGACAAGCAAGCTTCACTGATGATATGTAACCACTTGCCACATGCACCTGCAGTCAGCTGATACTATGTGATATCGCTTTTGACTGCCTCATTGGTTTATTAGTCATTAACGCAACTAGTGGGCATCTGGTTCTGGGTTCTTATAGCAGGTCGGACAAAAATCAGTTATTGGGTTTTATTAATTAATTCTTCAATCGCCGGTACATTGCTTTTATATCCAAAAGGAGGAGTATTAAATAAAAACGCAACAACAATATTGGGACAACTATTATTTCGTCAGTAAAGTACTGGCAATGTTATTGTGTGTAAAAACAACTCAAAAATCCGTTCTGTGAACGACGGGACGAGAATGGTTTAAGATTTACAATTGGATCTGTAAGGTGGCGATGTAGCCAAGGTCCATATCAACCATGCGAAGCCGACGCGAATCACTAGTAATAAATAAATAAAGGTATGCACCGGCCATCTCCTTCTGCACGGCGTCCATCTCGTGGCCGATGTCAGAGGAGAGGCGCTTCTTGAGGCGCGAGCCGAGGCCGGCCTCCACGTGGCGGTGCAGCGCGCGCTTGTACTGCTCCAGAGCGGCGCGCTCCGTGCGGAACGGGCTGTCGTGCTCGTCCACCAGCGCGGACAGCCGCCGGATCTCCTGGCTCAGCGTCAGCGACACCTGCACACACATACACATAACACTTACGGCCCGATTGCACAAAATATCTTATCTTAGACACAATATTGATACGCGTGAATCGACACTTCTCGAAATAATAATGTCCTCTAGATCGAATTTCAGTCACGGCGGCCAGTTCAAACTGGGACTAGCTATCCGCGCAGGTAAGGATTATAGTGCCCGAGTGTTATACATGGTAGAACTTTTTTTTTAAATAGAATAAGGGTGACAAACGAACAAACAGGCCATCTGATGGTAAACCATTAAAAAACTGGATGCTGTGACACAGATATCTAAATTTGTCCTCTATTAAAAATCAAAATGAAGATACAATTGTCACCCCTAAGAACTAAGATACAATGCCATGTTTCCAGTAAAAATAAACTCTGGTTCTCTACACTCACCTTACATAACACAGCAATATTAAGCTGGTATTTTATACTGGTATACTATGAGAGGGTGGTCCTACCCCGGTCGAACTGACTCATTCGTGCCACAACCATAACATAGCTGCAGTGTGATTCTCTCTACCACGTAAAACACTCAGGCACATAATAAAATTTAGATCCTTTTTTCCTGATAATAAGCAAAAACTTATTAATTAAAATAATATTTTGTCCACCAAACTTGGACAAATATCTATACAGCAGAGAAGGAAGAAAATACTCGCTTTTAAGCAAAGACTTCTGGTAATGTCCTCTAGAACGAATTTCGGTCCCAGCGCAGAAAAGGATTATAGTGCACAAATGTGTGAAACTCTATTTCCTAACTCTCAAAGTCCGAAGGAGACTGGGCAAAGAAACAACAGTCTTACGTGATTTCCGAAGCACAGAGATGACACCACCAATTTTTTTTTATTTAAAAAAAAGAGTAATAACAATGTTATAAACATTACTAATATTCCCCCCTTAACCACTCGTGGTAAGCTTAAATTGCTTGCGTTACGAGTGGTTCACGCCAGTAGTCGAATGGTGGATTCGAACCCACGACTTTTTGAGTTCGCCGTCCGCGCCCTGCCATTAGGCTACTGTCGCTTTTATTTTTTTACGCAATTTTAAAAATTTCTTGACAGAAAATTCCAATAATATATTTTGATTAACCCGGAACCGTTTCACAATCAGCAGTGGCACACAACCACTAGGTCAATAAGTCAGTCAATACTTAATAGTACAAGGTAGGAAACGATCATTCGACTAATACATTTAAATAAATAGTGAGTTTTGCTGCCACATAATAAAGTGCTATTTAGGCCACACATGACTGAGTGCCTATACATATCTTTTTCTATAGGATAACTATCATTCACGGCCAACGTTAGGCATGTTTTATTTTGACTAATAAATCTCAAAACGCGAACAAGAAACAGAATGACGTAGGCTTGGACATGGTGAGTAATTCGCAACCTTACGTACTCTCTATGGGCCTGTACCTGAAACTTACCTACGTATAGTTTATTCACGGAGACAATCGTTACCGTAACAGCCTGTTGAGGCCACAGCTGAACATAGGCTACCTCCTGCCTCATACGGGGGATATTTGCCATAGTTGGCACACTTGGCAAGCGGGTTGGCAAGCGCAGCTTTATGTTTTAATTCGTTATTAGTAGGACGCTGCTGCCAATGTCTTGATTGTTCTCCTCCTTCGCCTCTAACGACTAATAACGTAACAGATGAGATATAAATTGAGAGAGGAGCATTAACAGTACGAGGATATTGGGCCCTGCTCCTCACCATCCTACTAGCTAAGTTTACTAGGTAAGTATGGGTCAGTTGGTGTATAGTTTGAAAGGCACTAAAACCTATATCTAGCAATTCGTTCTAAAGGTTGAATAACGATATATATAGACGATACCTTGTGTTCGACACTCTCAACCATGCGGCCGATCTTGTCCTTCATCTGGCGCGTGATGGCGGTGAGCTGTTCCTCGACGGCTGACAGCTGCTCGTGCAGCACGCGCTGCTTCTCCACCTTGCTCGACTTCATGTCGCTGGCCTTGTTGTACACCTGGAAAGTAAACGTAGTTTATTAAAATAATGCAATCATTTACAGCCTATTATAAGTCTACTACTGAACATACTACTGCATACCCTTCCTGCATATTACTAGGTCGTAGGGGCCGCACTACACTTCACCTACCGTTACTTGAAAAATAAAGGAACCGAAATTTGGAAGTTCTGTTTTTAAATATATTACGCGAGTGTAAATAAGCTCGCACTCACATGAAGTGGATTTTGATACGTAAAAGTGATGAGATTTTATGTATTAAATGTTCATATACTGCACATAACTATTAGTGATAATAACAAAACAAGTACTACAATGTTAATAACTTAAGGTTAAATAACATTGTAGTTCAGTTATCATGTTAATTAACATAAAATTAATTAACATTGTAGTTAAATAAACTTACTTAAGGTTTATACCTTAAGTTAATTTTTTCACTGAGGCGCTTTAAGAACTTGAACTACAGTCGTCATTGACTGTCTGCTGGCTTAAGATGTAGTCAAAAATCCCGCAATGTGATGCATCAACATATTGTGGAGAAGTTTTTGCATAGATTATTTTAAAAGATAATTTCCTATTACTTGACACTGGCAAAAATACAACCGTACGAGTCCATTACAAAAGCAAAAAAAGGGATGGTAAAATTGTAAATAGTTTTTTTTAACTTAAGGCCCCGGTCGTGTAAAAATTTGTGTTCTCGCAAAATTTACAGCATAACAAATATTCTTTTATGGTATTTAAAAAAAGAAAAAGTAAAACATATTTTACATTTATTAAAAACGTAAGAACAGTGTAGGATTTGATATTTTGGAAACTGTTTTTTAATTTTATTTTGGTGTTTAAATTAATAGCTCCATTAGGCGTTAAACATGCCTATGTTTAGGCCTATGCCTATGTTTACATGTGTAAAAGGTCTTATTAAAGCCTCTGCTATGTACAAACTATAACAATATCAAAAAAAGTATTCAGATTACATTTATTTACATATTGTCTACAATAATCTGATCTGGTCACTTTTTTTATAAATGCTTTAATTTTCTTATTTGGAGGGCTTAAAAAGTTGTAATTTCATGAATTTTTTTACTGCAAATATCTATTTTTTTTTTATTAGAAGTATAAATGTGGCAAAGTCGTACTTAAAACCACATAAAGTATAACTATTTTCAAGTAAATTAGAAATAAATAAAATTATATTTTCGTACCTTTTACCTTTTTTTCGTCATAAGAAGATTCACATGTATACATGGGAAAGAGGTGATGATAGAAGCATGATAGATTTCGTAATTGTGGATGAAAAAATGAAGAGCGCAGTCGTAGATACAAGGGTTTACCGGGGGTCCAACGTAGGGACGGATCATTACTTGGTCTTATGTCGAATTAATGGTCTTTTCAAGCGTTGGCGGCATCGGACATCTGTGTCTACCACTGCGTTACAGCGTATAAGAATAGAGAAGTTACAAGATGAAGATGTGAAAGAGAAGTATAAATGTAGACTGAGAGAAAATATTAGGTGTTTGAATGAGTTTTGTATGAATGATTTAGACTTGAATACTGTGTGGGATAATATTAAGAAAGGTTTGGTGGATGCAGCCACCGAAGTATGTGGTGTAAGTAAGAGAACAAATGAAAGGAAAAGGAATACGTTGTGGTGGGATGATGAGGTGCGGGTGGAAGTTGAATCAAAGAAGAAAGCATGGTTAGATTTAGTAGCAACTAAAACTGCTAATTCTGGTGGTATGAATGATGAGATTGAAAAAAAAAAGGCAGAATTTAGACGTTTAAATAAGAGAGTAAAAGAAGTAGTTGAAAGGAAAAATAAAGAAAGAATGGATAAGAATGATAGAAGGATATCTGATAATTTCCAGGCTAATATAAAAATGTTCTGGAAACTCGTAAGAACTGCCAGGGGAAATACAAAACAGCCTATAATTAATGCTATAAGAGACGAGAATGGATGTATTCTGAATGATGAAGTTTCGAATTTAAACAGATGGAAGGAATACTTTGAAAGCGTGTTTATGAGTGAAGAGTCGTCTGAATTAAATGAACAAGAAATTCCGAAAGAAGTGGAAAGGGGTATGGAGATAAGTGTAGATGAAATAATGAAAGCAATGAAAAGCATGAAAGCAGGTAAGGCAGCTGGATATGATAGAGTATCACTCGAGATGCTAAGGGCTGGAGAGGGAGTGGTGGCGGGCCTGCTGTACACCTTGTTTAATTTATGTTGGGAATTAAAACGGGTACCGAATAACTGGTGTAAAGCAGTTATAGTACCATTATATAAAGGAAAAGGGTCACAGCAGGACTGCAAAAACTACCGTGGTATCAGCTTGCTTACTATTGTGGGTAAACTGTATGCTAAGGTGTTAATTGAAAGAGTTATAAAAGAAACTGATGGAAAAATTTGGGATTTGCAAGCAGGTTTTAGGAAGGGAATGGGGTGTACAGATCAAGTCTTTTCCATGCGCATGATTGCGGAGAAGTTTTTGGCTAAAAACCAGAAAGTTTTTTGTGCATTCATGGACTTGGAAAAGGCTTATGACAGAGTGGACAGGAATGTGTTATGGCAAACACTGAACTCATATGGGTTGAGCGCTGGTTTGATACAGGCATTGAGGTCTCTTTATAGGGATTCTAGTGCTTGTGTCAGGATCAATGGGGTCTACTCGGACTGGTTTGGCATCCGAAAGGGTGTCAGACAGGGCTGTGTGGCTTCCCCTTTGTTGTTCAACCTATTTATGGACAGGTGTTTGCAAACTTTGAAAGATGAAGAATGTGGGTTAAGAATGGGCGAGTTAACCGTCAAATGCCTTTTGTATGCCGATGATCAAGTCATATTTGCGTCATCGGCGGCTGAGTTGCAAATGATGGTTACATTAATGAACTGGGCATTAAAAGAAAGGGGAATGAAAGTGAACGCAAGTAAGACGAAAGTGATGGTTTTTGAAAGAGAAGAAAGCAAAACGGTATGTGAAATAAGAATAGAAGGAGAGTTAATTGAGCAAGTGGATGAGTTTGTGTATTTGGGATGTGTATTTAGCAAGGATGGTAGATATGATAGGGATATAGAACGACGAGTAAATGCAGGGAATAGAGTGAGTGAATAGGGGCACTACACTCTATTGTGAAGGACCAGAATGTATCAAAAAAGGCACGTATGGTAATTCATAATGCTGCGTTAGTCCCTACTTTAATTTATGGTAGTGAAAGCTGGATGTGGCAGAAGAAGCACGAAAGTAGAATAAATGCTGTAGAAATGCGGTCTTTAAGGAGTATGCTAGGGTTCAATCTGAATGACAGGATGAGAAATTGCATGATAAGAGATAAATGTGGTATGCAAGATGATGTTGTGACCAGGATTAAGAAAGGAATGCTTCGGTGGTTTGGTCATGTAGAAAGAATGAATGAGGAAAGAGTGACAAAACAAATTTATATGGCAGATGTGAACGGCAGAGTCGGGAAGGGACGCCCTAGAAAAAAAAGTTTATCGACCAAATTGGCGATATTTTGAAAATGGGCCACGTTAAAAGTACCCTTAACCGACGAGCATGTATGCGTAGATATACGAGGGTGGATTGAAAGTACTCGGCCTAACACAGATCCATTCAATTCTAAAAATCAAATCTACCCACATTATTTAGTTCAGTTCAGACTAGTTCATTGTGTGAAGTTCGAAACGTGTGCGATAATTAGTTGTGATTTTATAAATTTATTAACAAAGTAATCGGACATAATTTCTGCGAATGGAGCAAATCGAGCAGCGTGCCGTCATTAAGTACCTCCATAAGAAGGGGCTATCATCAAAAGCCATCCATGATGACATGGTCAGTACATTAGGCGATTGTGCTCTGTCATATTCATCTGTCAAAAAATGGATAGCAGAATTTAAGCGTGGTAGAGAGAGTGTGAAAGATGAACCCCGCTCTGGAAGGCCTTCGACGTCAACTACTGACGAAAATATTAAAAAAGTACTTGATTTAATAATGGGAGACCGCAGATTAAAAATTAGAGAGATAGCCGAGATTATAGGCATCTCTTATGAACGAACTCAAAACATCATTGTCAACGAGTTGGGTTTCCACATGGTGTCTGCGAGGTGGGTTCCGCGACTGCTTTCAGTTGAACAAAAAAGGACGCGATTGACTATTTCACGCGACTGTTATGAGATAGTTATATGAAGCCGATGCAGATGATTTTTTGAATCGTTTTGTTACTATGGACGAAACATGGGTTCATTACTGTACACCGGAAACAAAACAACAATCAAAACAGTGGAGAAGACCTGGTTCACCACCCCTAAAAAAGGCTAAGTCGATTTTGTCGGCAAATAAGGTGATGGCTTCAGTATTCTGGGACTCGAAAGGTGTGATTATGATTGATTATCTTGAAAGGGGTCAGACTATAAACTCTGATTACTACTGCACCTTACTACGTCGTTTACGAGAGGAAATAAAAGAAAAACGTCGAGGAATGCTCAGAAGAAAAGTCCTGTTTCATCAAGATAACGCCCGTTATCACACGTCAGTACAGTCAACGGCTGAAATTCACAACTGTGGCTTTGAACTGTTACCGCATCCGCCGTTTTCACCTGATCTGGCACCATCAGACTTCTTTCTCTTCCCTAACCTAAAAAAGCACTTGGGAGGTCAAAGATTTTCGACAAACGACGAGGTCAAAGCAGCTGTAGATGCATATTTTGACTCTAAGGAAGAATCATTTTTTTTCAACGGTCTAAATGCTTGGAAGGGGAGGTGGCAAAAGTGTATTGAACTTGATGGTGATTATGTAGAAAAATAAAAATATAACTGATTTAGTATGTGTTTATTTTCTTGGTTAGGCCGAGTACTTTTCAATCCACCCTCGTATGGATGTAAAGGAGGCGAAAGAGGTACGTCAGGATCGTGTCAAATGGAAGTCCGTGGTCTCTGCCTACCCCTCTGGGTGACAGGTGTGAGTGTTTATGCTATTTATACCTTTTACCTATATACCATTTATAAACTAGAAACGCGTGAAAGTACTCTCAGTTCCGCTGGGATTTCTCGGCGTTCAGACGTGTGCTGTATTGTTCAACGTTATTTTACCTCTCGCTCGCACGGTTGATCTCTTTCACTCGCGCAGCTCTTATGGACTGACTGGAGCATATCGTGAAATTTGCTCTACTTAAATATATATTATTTTTATTTAATTGTACATATTAGTTCTAGTTTTTAGTGTGTAAGTGTATTAGTGTTTATATTAGTATTAGTGTGTTAGATTAATAATTGACTGACTTCTATTTGGTGAATTTCAATTTACAACCAAAAGAAATAAACGGAAAAAAATGGATGGAAAAAAGAGGAAATATCCTTGTCAGTATAAAGAAATGTAAAGCAAGAGTTGAAGTAATGAAAAGAAACGTATGTTGAATACTACCTAGGTATAGGTGAATAATATTGATATATAACCATAGTTAACAAGTGTAATTTGAGATATTATTTATTGCATTATCTATACATATGTACAACGTGCTGCTACAAAGCCGACACACAAATATGTTTTCACATTTTCGTTTCATGAAGCAATTATATTTCAATTAAACGTTATTATTTACGTATTTATTTCAATTTTAGAAACTAGCATCTTACTTATATAATAATACAATCTATACTTAGCTACTTAGAGAACCGTCGGCGAGCGGGCAGCGAAGTTAGCGCAGGCGACGCGTGCCCTCCCAACCCGTTCCCATAATTACGTCGACTAATATTTTTGTGAACGTTTCCGCAAAAAAGACGCTTACCTATTGTTTTATTTATTGTAATTAGGATAGTGATTAGTAGGGTTATGGTACTGCGATAAAGACGCTTTGTTTTCTAATCTAGTAAGTACGTTTACATTTCTTGCGATACGGACGCTTTTATTTGCTCATTACTATCGATATTGACGACGAATAATTGTTTGGAAATCTTCTTATCTGTCTTTATGTCTGTACGTGTGTGTTTAATTTATCCCGTAAAATGCAAGGTCCGTCTCTATTATAATAGAATTCATTAAAATAATATTATTTTTCTTTTGTTTTAATTGTCAGTAATTTATTTACGTGACCTTTATTCTTTTCAGTAATGTCAGTGCCACTGCGTCTACCGATCGTCAACCGATGTCAAATATTAGCAACACTTGCCCTCCAGTAAATGATATTATGCCATGGTAACATTTTCTGTTGTTACCTTTTTTGATTAAAATATATACGTTAATGCCATATTAACTTTAATACTTACATATACAATACATATAATACTTTTCATTTTAGTGATCAAGAGAACAAACCTCAATATTCTTCTAAAAGTATTTTAATACCAACTAATGGTTCTAAGGAAACAAAAGGACAAGATGTAGCAAATAAACCCCAAAATGAAAACTCGGTACATATTAGCAGTTATTTTTGAGTAGCAATTAGCCAATTATCGTGCATAAAACACATGTTATACATGTTTAATATCTACAATATCTCATTTGTTTAAATTGTTATTCATTTTTATTTATGTACACAAATAAATATTTGCAGTTTTGCTATTTTAAAAAGCTAATAATAATATTTATTTTAGGTTAATAAAAAGGGGCGAAAACGAAAAGCCACCAGTGAACTGCCTTTTAGAAAAGTTAAAACTAAGGTAATTAAAATATGATAAATAAGGGCTCATAAAATTTGACTCGTAGAAATGTAAAACAAAGCTATTACTTTTTTTTATTTTAGCGCCAGCCGTCCGCACGTGAAAAGGGTGATTGCTTCGACTTCAATGTAGAACGTGAAGAAATGTGTAGTAAAAAAGAGGATTTTGATTTGAAGGACGTAGAAATGTCTCTATACGATAATTCTTACTTTCTCTGCAAGCAGTTGCTGATCACAGTCATTAATCATTTGGATGCAAAAGAAATTGAAAAATGCAATAATTATGCTGTTTCTTCTGGTGCAGCAGCAATTATTGGTGCCTGTACTGGTAAACTGTTATACTTAGGAACCAAAAATAAATACTGTATGATATGTGCTCGTGCAGCTAATAACAAAATATCCCCAAAAAGTTAACTCCTACACGTTACAAAAAAACACTCGAAAAAACTTTCTTATTTTTAATCTTGTAACCAACTAAATAAATAAATATTTGTGTATTCAGTTATTCTTTTGTTTGAATTTTTTATCGATTGCCTTCTAAATTACTTCTCTATACGATTTTTCTTAAAAAAAAAACAGGTATAAGCGCTATTTGTATGTTCAGTTTGTATTAAAAAATTGTCTGATTCATAATACAAAATGTTCAAGGTAGAGTAGAAATTTGTATGAATGAAAACAAGAAGCAGTATTTTTTTTCTTCGGTTGTATTTACCCTTTTTAAACCTACAACCCATATAAATATGACTAAAAACGACATTTATGAAATATAAAAGGGTAAAAAATTATACTACCACAACAAAAGTAAAAGGAATATTTTTGGAAAAAAAATTAATAAGTTATATATTTAATGAAATAGAGCAACTTCACGTGCGATCTCAAACGTATTTATGCACGGGGGAGAGCGCCCCTTCTAATGGCTGGTAATGTAAAACAGCACACCCAGACGCCTTAAACGAAATTGCTAATGAAATACAGTTTCAATTTTGGATTAGTCATTGATATTTTTGTTTGTAAGACCTCTCTAAGACACGTCGCAGAAGAACACAAAACTTTCCGATCACACTCAATCTCATGGCATCAGCAGACTTGACAGCATACAAGCAACTGAACAAACAAATCTGCATATACATCGGGATATGCAATAACATACACCCTACAACCATACAGCTCGTATTGAAGGAGCAATCGAGTGGAACCAGGGCTCCAGTCTTTGCAAGAAATCTGTCTGCCAGAAAGAGACAATTCCGGGACACCAGTGATTTTGAATGAGATTAAGAGGTTCTTTGGGCACCTGTAGACATTATCGTTGAAGCCACACATAAGTGTGAGTAACTATCCAAGAGCAAGTCTTATTTGACACTATCCAGATAATATCCCGGACATCAGTCTGGGCGGATTAAAATGGCTCTCCAGCACATTAAAAACTGCAAGTTCGCGGGCGAGGTTCGAATCACAGCGGAGCATCTGATGGCGTGTGGAAAACAGATACTTGTTCCCTTCTAAACCACGTCTACGTACTGTTTTCGAGAGTCATTACGAATCGTCTCGCACTCAGACTCGACGACTTCCAACCTCCCGAACAAGCCGGTTAGCGAAAAGGCTTCAGTACCATAGACCACATACATACCCTACAAAAAAAAGAGTACAATCTGCCACTTTGTCTGGCGTAAATGGGCTATAAGAAAGCCTTTTGATTCCGTCGAAATTTGGATGGTGCTAAAGTCCCTTCAGCGGTATCAAGTTGATTGTTGGTATATCGAAGTACTGAAGTGTTTGTATAGTAGGGCTAAGATGGCTATCCGAGTACCGAGTGCCAGAGTACAAAACCTATCTATCTGCAGAGAGAGGTATGACGGTGATGTAATATCCCCGAAACTCTTCACTGCTGCTTTGGAAGACGTTTTCAATGGAATGGATATGGGGTATTAACGTCCATGGCGAGTATATCACTCACCTTCAATATGCCAAAGATATAGTCTATTATTATATTTTAGTATTAGTCTGCTATTATAATATTTTAGTATGTATTGCAGAATTGCTGAAGGACCCAAGCACTATGCTCAATGACCTCAATAGTGTCTCTCAAAGGACAGGTCTTATTATTATTATTTATAGGCTCGGGATGAGGTTTCGTTGCGTTCTTTGGGGGAGGCGTATGTTCAGCAGTGGACTTGTGAAAGGCTCTAGTGATGATGATGATGATGATGATTTTTGTTTGTCTACAGTGTATATAGATTTGATATTTTATGATAAAATATTGAGACTATACCGAAAATTGACTAAAAGACATTTGAGTGCACTAGTCATACATTTTAATAATGAAGACAATTATTCAATGAGTAGTTAATTGTTCACTATGACGGTTGTTAGTAATATTGTATAGTGTCGTAGTGACCTGGTCGAGCGCGGCCATGACGTCTGCGGCGATGTTCTTGCCGCGGCGCGAGTGCTGCGCGAACTTGGTGCGCACGGCCGACTTGCTGATGCACTCCTCGAACTTGCGCTCGAAGTCCACGAACTCAAAGTACCGCACCTGGTGCCCGTCCGCCAGGATCGGAGCTGCGGAAATTAATATGGCACCTTTAAATAGTTAAATACTCCAATTTTCCAGTAACTCGACTCCAGAGTCAGTTATTCCCTCATCAGGCAATGTATAGGCTTTTACAACAAAGTCCCACAAAGTATGCGGGAACTATCAATCAAAAAAAATGTTTAAAATAAGGGTTATTAATTATTATACTACTAAAGAGTACCTACATACCGTTATGTTACAGTATGTTAACTAACTGGCGCGTTGATTATTGTTTTTATGAGCATAATATGTCTTCTATAGTTTTTAGAGTTTGATGGAATAACCATAATAATGATGAGATTTTTACAATGAGTGTAGAAAATCATAGACCTCTTATTTATTATATATCCTATCCTAACTCTTAATGGAGAACAGAAGTGCTCGTTTTTCACCTGTAGGTTCAAATAATAAAAGAAACATATAAATATAATTAAAAAAACTCTTACATGAAACTGGTTTCTCTCTTTCCCTCATGCGAGTTAGTAGAGCTTCCTTAGCCGATATGAAGAATATCCTCTCCTCCGCTTCCTTTGGAGTGCAAACGCGAAGTTCACGTGACAGGAAATCCACACAACGGTTAGCATGCTGAGTGCGTACCTGAAAAAATCAGTAATGGGAAGATCAATTTGTGCAACAAAACAATATATGGCCGGCTATAAAATATAAAAAAATAATATAGAATATTTACCTGATCCAAATATTCAGGCTCAGAGGCAGAGGCGTCCCATCGATTGTTCAGTATGAATATGTTCGGTTGTGATATCTTCGTCGACACTTTGTGGAAGAAGTTTTTCTCCTGAAAACAATAGTTTTCCATTTCATTGGATATGTATATATTAACTTACTTAAAGATAAAAGTCCATCTTATTACAAAAAAGACGTGTAACTGCAGTAATTGCATAGCATTTTGTATCAACTTATGCAATTATAATTATTTTTTATTTATTTTATTTATGCAGTATTTCTTTTTCTTTGATATTAATTCAAGTTACACTTTTTGAGCGTGGTGACCGATAAGAAAACAAATTTTTTTCTTTTATTAAATAAATAAAAAGTTAATATTGTTTAAAATATTTTTCTTCTTTTTTTCTTTTTAGCTCTTTACGCTTTTCTTCTCTATAAAAAGAAAATATCTAGGTATAAATAATAGGTATAAATAATTAGGTATAAATAATTAGGTATAAATAGTGTAATGACACACCAAAACAAAATTATTCATTTAAAAAAAAATAACGATATTAAGAAGTGATTATCGAATTTCGCGCGATGTACATTTATATAGATATCATATATACTTTCTCTGCGCGGCATTCATGTGCATTATCTATACACCAAAAACAAAGGTACTGAATAGTACACGTGCTTGGTTCGATGGCTTCTGTTATATACATAATGAAGAATATATATATATATATATATATATATATAATTTTTTATTACTTATTTTAGGCATTATTACTTTTTTTGGGCATTATTACTTTTTTTGGGCAGACATACGTGTTTATGGGCAACAGGATCAATTCTCCATCGGGTGGGCTTTGAGCTTGTTTATCACCTTTACTTCTATAAAAAAAGACTAAAAAGCTATACCTATTCGGCCTTATTATAAAAAGTAGCTTGTATTCTGTCTCATCTTTAAATTAAAATCTGTTTCATGAAATAAGTCTCACGAGACTAAAATGGAATGTATGAAATTTGACAGCAAATGTCAAACTTTGCGAAGACTGGCGCCGCGGCTAAGGGATTTCGCTATATACAAATTTTAAGCTAATGCATAGCTTCTATCGCGGGCCTTGAGCGCGGGGAACGAATCCAGAAATTCCGTAACGAAAAAAAACCTCACGCTCCCCAGTCCGACGGGCACGGAGGTGTGGCTTGATGGCCGTGCATTGTCTAACGTCGTTTCTTTTCGGCAGTCTTCGACACGGTGTTTGTGTGCGTGCAACTAGACGTATTGTACGACTCTACGAAGCTCGCACGAATCGAGACGAGCTGCTCCGAAACCGCACGAATACATAAGCAGCTGTTTATGAGAAAGTATAAAAGTATATTTAAAAGTACATATAAAAGTAGCCCTCTTTTATACACACACACGCGTATATTTTAAATTCTCAATTTAGATTCTCAATATGTGTATATATATATTCCATCCTAGTCCTCAGGGGTGACAACGTATCTGCCGTTTTGATTCAGTATAACATGTCGCGAGCTGTCAGAGCTTACAGGTTAATCGAGGATAAATGTAGATGTTTATGGGCCACAGCTTTACACTACTTACCATCAGGTGAACTGTGTGCTCGTTTATCACCCTTATTCTATAAAAAAGTGACACCGAAAAGAAAAATAAACTTTAGGCTTAGCATCTGACCGTGACCATCAAGGTGGACTCGGCGTTGGCGACGAGCACGAAGACGTCCGCGTCGAGGCAGTAGCGGTCGATCCACTCGTCCAGGTTGGGCGTGACGTCGACGCCCGGGCTGTCCACCAGCACCACGTCGTCACGCAGCAGCGCGCACAGCTCGCGGGGCCAGTGCACGTGCACCAGCGCGCGCTCCTGCAGCCGCGACGCGCACAGCGCGTGCCCCAGCTGGCTCACCGACTGCACAGTTACATACAATATTTTTTTCATTTCACTTCATTTTTATAATGCGTTCAAGGTGCTGTGGTGATTGCCGCATTATTGTAGTGCCTCCGCCATAGCTGCTTTACGTTTGGTTTACGACTAATGTTCCATAAGTAGTCTACCTAAGATTAAGAGCCGTTACGCACTGTCGACTGGTTGCCAGCAACTCAGTCTCTCGGCGACCAACATTGGCCAGGAGACCAAGCCGAACGACAGTATTCCAAGTACATTCGGGAAGTCTGTTGTGCGCCGCAACGAACTAAGTGCGTAAACACCTATTTAAACTATAGAAAGTCGACAGTGCGTAAAGAGCCTAAGTTGCCGGTTGCCCGGGCGACTCGGCGACTCGCTACGCAGTGACGACGCACAAGAGACTGTCGGTCTCCTGGCCAATGTTGGTCGCCGAGAGACTGAGTTGCTGGCAACCAGTCGACAGTGCGTAACGGCTCTAAGTGCGTAAACACCTATTTAAACTGTAGAAAGTCACTGTCGCCGGCGACTCGGTCGACGGTGTCGGTGCGTAAAGAGCCTTAGAAGGAAACTTTTCACAGGCACATGAAATGCAATCAACATTATTCGTAAACAAAGGTTTGTAACCTCAAGTGTCTTTCCTAGAATTTCTTTCTAAACACACAACACAACACATACAGAATAAATGTACCTACATATTAATTATTATATAACTTTATTATTTAAAATACCCACAAGTACCTCTTCTGCCACATAAATATTAAGAATTTACTTGATAAGAGCAGTCATTATTTTATAATATCCTCAGTAAAGCTGGCAAATCAAGTAAGCAGAATGATCACACCAAGCAGTAGAGTGCGAACATTAGTTACGTATCATTTGGTTACGGTTGTATTTTTTCAAGAGACACTTCGCTTAAATTCATTTCAAATAATAGTAAACGTTAATTACCCATAGACTCTTAAAATATCACTGAATTGTTACTTCGTTGTCTATTGAAAACATACAAAAATTCTGTGCCGCCTGTAAATCAGTATAGGATAAACGTCAATATCGACTGAAATCACTATGATATCGATAAAAACTTCGACCGTTGTCACTTTCCTAATTGTGAATGTATTAGCACAGAATAAATAATACTACTAATGTGCTACAGACCGAGTTTAACCTCCCTCACCTCTAGTACCTTCCCCGTAGAGTGTGATAGGGACAACTGCAGCTTAGAACGATTTTACCTACAAAAACCATGACCGATGATCTACGTTTCGTATTCCCCTGTTTTCTCCACTAAAACTAAGCCGATTAAACTATTTTTGGTATCAAAATTTAAAGGAAGGATAGATCTATGCTCCTATCATTTGTTTTCATCTTAAAAACTTTTCAAATTTCTTTGGTAGTCGTCTCATTACGGAGGTAAAAACGGGGCATTTTTTTTAGGTTTTTGGAAAGTCATATTTATTTTTGTAATCATTTTTTGGAAAAAAAATAAATGACAGGGCATGCCTTTAATGAACCTTGATTTTTATAAACAAAAACGATTACTCTAGAGGCAATATCCAGGAAGAGAATAGGGGAATATATTTGTATGGAAGAAAATGCAGCCCGTCTATGCTCTTAAGCCTGAATATGAGACTCCAAGCTTAATCCATGAGTGACAAAGGATAATGTGCTCGTTGAACCCTCGGAATACGCGGCTTCTTCACTACTGTGCGACGTTAAAAAAAATTTCAACCGAAAACAAAATTTCACTGTATTTTTTCCGCGTACCGCCGTAACAAAGCGCGGGATCTATCCAGCCTAATTTTTTTCAAACGCTCGTTCAAAAAATGTCCGGGTTTCTTACGATACGCTCGTAGCCCTAGGTCTTCATTGATTACTCTTTTGATCGTGGTTCTGCTTAGGCCCATCTGAAGAGCTAAGATATTTTTTACGAAGATTTCGTTGGATTCGCGCCTTCACTGCTTTGATGATTCCGGGTGTCCTAACTGAACGAGGTCAGCCGGTCCTCTTACGATCTTCGAAGCTTAAATCTTCAGTGAATCGTTTGATAGTGCGATAAACACATCGTAGGGTTATTTTCAATTTTTGTAGTATACTGAAAATCTCTTTTGGCACGTAAACACAGCGGTGCAACGCGATAACCGCTACTCTATGTTCTTTCTTCGACCACTCCATATTTGAAAATGAATGAAAATTAACGTCTTTTTATTTTCGACAAGCGCAAACGTTATATTTTTTTTAAAATTGGTGAAGTTCATCTAGCCAGTATTCAAAAATTAAATAATAAGGTTTTGACGGAACTTATCACCCGACTAAGTATATAAGATAAATGTAATGTAAAAAAATGTAAAAGTTAAATACTAACACTAGTTTATCTATAAAATAAAGTATCTGTTTGTAATGTCAAAATAACAGCTTTTTATTAAATGATAGTATATAAGCTACTTATAGCGAAAAAACAATTTTTGTAACTTTTGTCTGTCTGTCTGTATATTCCGAATAATCTCCGAAACGGCGCGACCGATTTTAATGGGACTTTTACTGGCAGATAGCTAATGTAATAAGCAGTAACTTAGGCTGCTTTTATTTTAGAAAAAGAATGATGGTAAAATTATTAGTCTCACTAAAGCTTTGGTCTCTTTATCGTAACGCACAACGCTGCGGTATGCGGCATGCGGTGCCGGACACAAAATCGTATGAAAAGCTTGTAGAACGGTTTCTTGTTCCGTCGCAGTATGCATCAGCGGCGAGGGGCAAGCGCGGTGAAGTGGGGAGCCTCCGCACTGCGCGGCGTCATTTTTGTTGCGACGCTGCGGTGTGCGTTACGGGGGTTGACAATGGAATTTGTTTGAAGATAATTTAATATAATTAATCCGCAATTATCCCTCTTTATATAAAAATAAAGATAAACTTCTTTCTTTCTCCTCCTCAAGCAAAGCAAAAATTTCAAAACTATTGTTCATGTTGACACGTCTGCTTTGATAGCTGCGTTGCGTCGTGACGCTGCGTTTTAGCCGCATACCGCAGCGTTATGCGTTACGATCAAGAGACCAAAGCTTGAAACTCAAAAACAGCACGACCGATTTTGATAAAAATGTTTGTGTGTGTTTTAATGGATCCCTAGATGGTTTATCTTGGACATTTGGAGCCGGTAGGTTGCGCTGTTGTCGAGATCCAGAAATGTAGGTTTACAATAAAATATAGGTTGTACAAACTGCTCACAAAACTTATAAAGAAAAAACTCGGAAGCGACAACTATGTATTTATTCCTTTATATTATATGACAACCCTTTTCATATGGTGTTTGTTCAATAAAGTATTTAAAATGTTATACTGCATTTTCAAAGTCAAATTGGCTAACCCTAGTGAGCAGATAAGCGTGAACGCGTCCGGCGTAAGTGGGAGGGGTGAACATAGACAAACCTATTGCGGTCTATAGTTCATATGACATCAGTATTATTGAAAGGCACTTATCAACATGTTTTTTAAAATATTTAACCCTTTATAGTCCCATGTAATATATCTGTACTAACGTATTATCGAAATAATACACAACAACAAACATAGATGGCGTTACTAGTTTCTTATTGTAACTTCAATTTGCAAGGTCGTTTGCCACGGCAAATCAGTACTTGTGAAAATTTCGAAATACATAATAAAACAAAATACAGTCTGCTTATTATTTCACCTGTACATTAAGCTTCTCTTCCGAGCCTTCAGTACGCAAGAAGGCTTCATCTGTGTCTGAGCCCTCCACCTGCAAGAAGCAGTTGGTCGTGTGGCCGATGCCACTGGGTAGTATCTTGTCATGGAGCATAGCATTTATTACCGTGCTCTTGCCGTTACTGGTTCTAAAAATAATTATTTATATTTTATGTTGATTGAGAAATAACAAAAAAATTAAGTTTTAATTTTTGTATAGGAAAATAATATACAAAATTAATCCAACAGCAAAACTTGATAATCACCATCATGTGATGGATTTTGTATAATATGTAATAATATTAACTAGCAAATCTTAAATCATAAGCATAATATAAATTTTGAAATATCCAATGGATAAAATTTTTATAATTGCACAAACTTAGGGAAATAATAAAGTAAGGGCAATTATTCACTAACCTTCCAAAGAAGGCCACCTTCATATGGTCTCTTTTGAGCACTTCCCGAATAGCCTGCACCTTACTGACGTAAGCCTCGATGTTAGCCACGTCCTGAGGAGTCGCGATCTTGTTCTCGCCCGACACTGCTACATAACAGAACTAGATATACACATATATAACAAAAACAGAGATACACTAAATATAACCATTTTAATATTTTAACAGTGTATCACTGTACTCTGAAAAATCAAACGAATGCTCTGATCATTTTTGGAAAATAGAGCATTCGGCTCTATTTTCCAAAAATGATCAGAGAATTATTTACAAATAAGTTTAGAAGGGAGAATCTCATGTTAGCAGATGCAGGAAAAGGTTCAGGAAATTAGCAATGAAGTGCGTTCTACCATCGTTGTTTTACATAATGAAGGCAAATCCGAACGTGAGATTGCTTTACAATTGAAGTTATCGAAAACTTGTGTTCATGGCACAATAACTCAATACAGGGAGACAGGCACTTTTCAAGATCATCCACGCTTGGGAAGGCCGAGAGCTACCACGTCAAGTGAAGATCATTTCATTGTTGTTACCAGCAAACAAAATAATCGCTTAACAGCACCGAAAATCCGCGTTGAAGTAAACAAAACCCGAGTTAAACCTTTATCATTAACTAAAGCAAAATGGCGACTGAGATATGCGAAATTGTATGGTCATGTCGCCATTCGAAAACCTCTGCTAAGGCCACTAAACAAGAAAAAACGGATGCAATGGGCCCTTGCCCATCGAGATTAGACTGAAGAAACTTTTGAAAAAGTTCCAAGACCAATGAATCCAAGTTTGAGCTATTTGGTTCAAAACGAAGAATTTACATTCGACACAGTGCCCAAGATGATGCCAGACTGTGTAGTCCCAACAATCAAGCATGGTGGTGGCTCAATTATGGTCTGGGGTTGCTTTTCTAGGCAAGGAACTGGGTATTTGATCAAAATTGACGGAATTATGAAAAAGGAAGAGTACGAAAAAAATTTAGAACCAAATGCCATTCCTTCGGGGTTGCAATTAATTGGAGATGGATTCATTTTCCAACAGGACAATGATCCTAAGCTTATCTCAAAATTATGCAGAGGATATTTGGAAAAGAAAGAGACACAAGGGGTGTTAAAAAACATAATTTGGCCTTCTCAGAGCCCAGATCTCAATCCCATTGAACTATTGTGGGAAGAGCTTAATAGGAACGTCCATAATTGTGGTCCATCCTTGGAGAAGAAATGTGCAATGCTTTGTGCGAAATTTGGAGTAATATATCACAAGACACTATCAACAAATTGATTGCACGTATGCCGAGACTTGTGAAAAAAGTCATAGAATGCAAAGGATTTTTTGACGAATAATGAGTTTAGCTAACTATAGCCTTTTTAACATGGACTGTTAATATTTCTTTACACTTTTCAAGTATATTGATTGTCAAAAAGTGTTTTATTGGATAATTTAACAGTTTAATTAAACATTTAATATTTTATTGGAGTTTTATTTAATTTTCCTACTGTATTTACTGAAAAATTTGAAAATGGAACACTTATTTTTACTATGATTTGGAAAATGGTTTTTTAAAAGAATCTGGTGACTTCTCACAGTATTCGCTCACAGTAATGGAGCTGTGTCAAGATAATTTTAATTTGACTTTTTTACAATTAGAACATAATATATACATATAAAAATAACTCAAATGCAGAAGACGGTGCTCCTCGATACCGCCCGCATGTCCGCCTCTTTCTTTCCCTTTCCCCCTAACCCTCGGCCGTATGGTCTCCCCTGCCAAGGGCTTCTATCTGGTTGGGCTTTTATTTATTTATGTATTTTTGTATTTCTTTTACTTTATTGATATTTATGTATATTTATTTTTTGATTTTCATTTATATATATATTTATAGCACCCAACCAGATGAGAAAACTATATAGATACCCCAGATAATAAAAATAATAACAAAAGTATATGTCTCAAAAAATAAAATATCATCAACATAAACAAATTTTATTATGCTAGTTGGAGACAAATTGATCTATGGCTCAGTGAATGTATGAGACCCACAGACCCTGGTATTCTGCCATAGACTAACTATTCATGCATGGTAGTCTGCATATAGTAGTAAGTAGTATCTAATCTTAAAATTATAATAAAATCTAGGCTTTTGTACAGTAAAATAAAACCTTAACATATATGTAGTTTTTGAAAGGGCCTTTTATTAAACAAACTTGTAGTTAGTCAGTGCCAGTGACTGCCAGTCGTGACTTTTTTTTCAGAATGTGGGCATATACTGGTAACCAGTCAACAGTCAAAACATCTTAACTATATCTTAACTATTGTCAGTAACTGTCATCCATGTTGGCGATTCAATTCTCGCTATTATTTTTAAAAACACTTTAATAGTTATTATACTTCGCTTCTAGTAGTAGTATAAATAGTAGTAGTATAAATTTAAATGAGAAAAACATGTTTACTATATTTTGTTGTATAAACCATAGCATTATACCCATACATTTAAAGAAAACAAGAAATTAAGTAAATTATTTATCCCGGGCAATAAGTACAAGTCGCAATGACTGCAAGATTTAAGAAATGACGCCATTTAGAAAGATACTTTTAGGGGATGAAAGCCTTGCCTTGAAGACACCCATATTTTAATCAGAAGGAAAGACAGATGTTGGTAGTTTATTCCACTATTTTGCTACACACATTAGTTGCACATGTTTCTTATGTGTGGGAAGTCAACAACAAAAGGGCGGAGACTAGCCGAGCTTCTGGTTATCCCATGGTGGAAGGGAGAGGGAGAAATTAAACTAAGCTTTAGCTACAAGTTAGTTTGTTTCAGTCTTATGCTATAAAATAAAAAACTTACCATGCATAAATGTAACTGCATCCTTGACATAGTCGTCAATTTCAATGAAAATGTCATTGATCTTCTTCTTGGCCCTTACAAATATCTGTAGCGGGGAGTCCACATTAGTCATGTTGACACGGACAGCACCATTATTGAGTGTTGCAACGTTATGCGGCCCATCGCCAGCCATCATTGATATTGTACGGTTAAGATACGCAGCCATACGGGAAGGAAATATTCACGGTTTTCGTTAGCCGAACCTTATGTCGAACAATGTGAATAAAATAGTTTATTGCACCACTTTTATGATTCGAACACAACATGCAGGGTACAACTGCAACAAAATAAAACAAGCTGAGCAGGTGCCTTGGGTGACTAGTGACTAGTGCAATGATTATTATGTTTAGAAGCTAGTCGTACGACATTTCAGCATTATTAACAATGGCAGTTGAAAATTTGATGTGTGGTGTGATATCTGTGATAATGAAAAAAAGATCTACATATCGACTTAATTTTATCAGTAACAATAGTCTAATTTTTGTAGTATAGGTTGGAGTTTTGATTTAAAAAATAATTATAATTCTATAGCTAAGCAAAAATAAACACACTTCCAGTGAACATGTAATGAGAAATTTTAATAGATCGTAGTGTATAAAATGAGTCTTCTACAGTGTTAACTCATTGGCTTAAATTCAAACAAGCAGTTTTTACTTTTCTCCATAGTACTTTTTACTATGTTACTCATAAAAATGTAAATACGAGAAATGGTTAAAGTCACTCTCTCTCTTCACTAAATGACAATAGAAATAAACAGGTATAGAAAAAATTTATATCTAATTGAAGTGAGCGGTAATTGACAAATATAATTTAGGCCGCTAATGTATATTTGCTGAATATGAAATGTTAATATTAACAGGTTCATGCAAAATTTGTTTATGAAAAGTGTAAAGTATGACATGTGGAAGCCTAAAAGCAAGTAAATTATGGTAGGGAAATCAGCACACAGAAAATATAATACCTGTTAAGGTTATTTTCATATCTACAACAAAAAAATAATAAGAAGCTAGCTCCAAATACTTGAACCACATCACAGAAGACAAGGAAACATAGAAAAAGTCAAAAGTACAAACATAAATTCGGTAAATTTAAAGCACCTTATCATCTCGTTGCATCATAGCCATAAGTGTGCATCCCTGCAGCCCGAGCCGCATGAAGGTTTGTGTACAATTTAGAATCGTATAAAAATAGAAATCAGAAAAAATGTAATAAAACGTAAAACAACTGACAGCCGCTGATATAGTCAAAATTAATTTACATTGAATTTTAGAAAAATAAAACGAAGTAGAGTCATTTATTTAAACAGATTAGTGGTGACAAGTAAGCAATATTACTTATTTACCTGTCTTACTGCAACATTTTGGATATATTAAATTTATTTTTGAGCATTTATCACCTGTAAAAATTTTCAATATGATTTTTTCGTGTTCTAAGTTTTCAATTACATCGTTTTAGTTGCTATAAAATAAAATATATGTATCTGCGCTTTACCATTGGTTCAAATGGTTAAATTATCATTTCCTCCAATGAGAAAAGCCTATTTCACCTATACGTTAAGTTTTTGCTTTTTTTTATATCCACAATATTTTTGTAGCATTAATATAATTTAATACGACATTAAAATGTGATGTTTTTTCAAATCGAACCTAGAGATTATATTAAGATGCAGGTTCTTTTCTTAAATTTTATAAATACTACGTCACAGAACACTATTACTCCTGTACTACGTAGTTATAAGCACAGTATTTGTAGGCAGTTTTTGTACCTACACTACATACCAACATGACAAGAAAAAATAGCACTGGCCTAGTACTTTACTGTCTGCACAGAATACTATTCTGGTTATAAAAAGATACTCTATGGAACACTACTACTCCTAGCGGAGATCATAAGTTTGAAGCATTGACAAAACGCAAGTTATACTCCGTCAGTGTTTGTCAAAATTATCGCAGACCTTTGAGCATTGCTCAAAGTCGCAGACACGGGACTATAAAGTGTAGAGATAAGGTAAGGAGGACATCTCCCATAGGAGAATACATGAAGGTTAGAGAACAGGAGAACAATCGCCGTAGAAAATATTGTCCCTGAAATATGGACAACATAAGTGAGACGCTGCGACCAAGTTCATTCAATAAAAGTCATTTTCAGTCTATTTTTCCGATCAGATGCTAAACCACTTGCACATCATAAAATATTTCTCTATTTTTTAATGTTTCTTTTTGTCAAAAATTACGGAGCATGAAAATTTTCTCACCAATGCCACGGAGAAAATTTGTACATAATTCAACTAACTTCATCTACTTGTACTTCAGAAACAGCTAATTTCGCAGTCACTTCTCACCGACGTCAGCGCCGCTATAAATTTTATAATTTTCCAGGACAGGCGGGCTATGCTTTAGTACGTAGTGTTCATGGGAGAATAGTTGAAAATGAGTCCATCCGTAAGCAGTAAATAACAGTTCAAAAACTTCACAACAGCGCTCGAGTAGCTAGCTACGGGGTATGATCAATCGCCGTAAAATACGTTGAGAGTGATTTTGAAAATAAAAATTTTGAAAGCAATAAAATAATTATTGTAAAAAAGAATTATGGTGAAAGTCTGTGCAATAAAAAAAAATTCTTTAAAATGTATCTGTAGCTACAGTGACGCCACCCTTATTTAACGCTTTCCTACGGACACTTTTCATACAGAGTCCGCACTCCTTACCTCTACACTCCATAATATCTTAAGGCTGTAGTACACTTCTCGCGAAGTTCCTCGCCCGAAGTATTCACCGAGGTCAGCCGAGGTACGAGGAACCTCTGTACACACTCGCTCAACTTCGTGAGGAACTAGTCGCTCCCACGCTAGGTTAGATGGAGGACGTACAAGTGACAGCTGCGTTTGCTTTGCGCACTGTTGTGCATCTTAACTATGTGCGTATATTGAATGCAAAAATAAAAATAAATGGAGAAAGAGTTGGTAGATGATTTCAATTCACATTGTAATTTTGATCGAATAAAAACATTTTTAATCAAACAGCACAACGCTTTATAGAAGTAAGCCGAGTAATGTACAGGGTCACTTCGTGCTCAAAACTTCGGTTCTTTGACTCAGGTGGAAAAAATCGACAACGATCGGAAGTCACCAGAGGCGAGGCGAGGTTGCCCGAAGTGAAGCTCTCGCCTTTGCCCAACTTCGTTCAACTTTGCGAGTAGTGTACTGCAAGCATTACTTCCTCTAATGTTAGGACAATCCCTTACTTACTACCATGGAGGTTAGAGCGGTTCTTCACAGTGGTTCTGATTCTATAATCATTGTTGCCGTTTTAGCGCCTTTGGTGCTAGATCTAGTGCAATTCTAGGGTCTATAGCGCTTTTTTTAATATCTAGGCGCTAAAAAATATCTAGTGGAATCTGGCAGAAAATTTGATATTAGTTGGCAGCCCAGTATAAAAAAACACTGTCGAGTCTATCGTTCGGGTACGTATGATCATCATCAGTACGTAGTATCATATCATCATCATAGTATTATTATGTATTCTGTGGCCCGAGTATTCTCCGACCAAAATGTTGCTTATGTGTTGTTTTATCTCCCTTTTGCATATTTTCATAGTGGTATTATGTAGCTGTTTCACTTTTCATTATACATATGGTTTTTCCCACTTTCGAGTTTCTTGTTAGTCGTTTAGCTCAGTTATGTTTGTTTTGTAAAATTTTTAAATGGAAGTGCCACGGAAGAAAAAGGCTTATATCCATAATATAGTTCTGAGTGGAAGCAAATGGCATGGAATTCAATTGGTCAAATGAGAAGGTGATGGTAATAATATAGTGAAATTTTGCATTCAAGTCTCCAGATACAAAAATGTGGCTAGTTTGAATACCTTTTGGGAATTAATGGACTTAGCTATCAGCGAGCTGTCGCTTCCGAACTTCAAACGCTGAAGTATAGCGGATTTTTGGCGTTACGAACATTGTTAAAAGTAAGCTACGTAAGCAGATGTCAGCAGAAACAGTGAACTCAAATATAATGATACGTCATCAACTCATCTATAAAAAAATTCTTAGGCAAAGCTGCCACATAAAAACTTACCTGAAAAGCAAGTTAAGACTCATCATCGGCATCTGGAGGTGACGATATCCACGAAGACATAGTGGAATTGTCAAATTTAGTTAATTTTTGTACCCAATATTACTTAAATAAATGAAGAGGTCTTTAATCAATCGTCTTTAAATAATTGCATTTTTTCTTATTTCCTTATACATTTACAAAATAAAACTTAGCGGAAATTGGGTGATTTTAGAAAGTAGATTTTTGTAAATTATACCGGAATTTTGATAAGCGTTTAGTGCATCTTTTATTCTTCATATGGCAACACTGTCTGTAATTTCTGTCAGTTTATTTGGCCTAAAGGTCTTGATATCAGGCCATAAACTCAAAAAATAACCTGTCATATTTGTTTATTCAATGAAATGGCGGTGGCGGAAGTGAATGCGAGAACAAAATCTGTAGAAATGTGCGTGTTTCAAATTTAAAATTTTACTGCAATATATATTATATTCTTTTTACCAATTAATAAATTCGAATTATTGAAGTCATATAATTGATTAACAAAATGTCGCGCTCTGTTCGTGCTGAAACGAGGAATCGTGTAAAAGACGACATCAAAAGAGTCATGCAAGCTGTAGAAAAAGTTCGCCATTGGTAGGAAGCTAATAATTTTTGCGAAAAATATTTTTATTTATTTACCTAAAATACGTAGTTTGTACATTTTTTATTTTACAGGGAAAAGAAATGGGTGACCATTGGGGAAACAACTATGAAAATTTACAAATGGGTTCCTATATCTACGAATGAGCAAAAGAAAAAACATGCGGCAAAACGCGAGAATAAGGAAAATACCTTGACCCCCAAAAAGTTGCACGATTCATCGAATTCCAACTTTGGCATGGCTGAAGATTCAAATACTTGTAAGATTATATTTGATATTTTTATTGTTGATTTAAAGTAATGGAGAATATAGAGAATAGTTTAGAAGTAATAGATGAACCCTATAGTTAACTCACGAAAGCAACCTGAATAAATTTTCGGTGCTGGTGCTTGTGATGAGACTCAAATAAAATGTTTTCACTCGAGTCACGCGTCAATATTAC